TTTTAAATGTGATTTATCCAATTTTGTCTAAAATAATCAAATTAAACGAAAAAATCAGGGAAAGAGGACTACTCCCTCCGTCCCTAAATAGATTACAATTTTTTTTCTCTCCCCTCGATAACTTTTGTTTGTTTACGTGATTTCACTAAATATTTGATAAAATAAAATATTCTTGTCATCTCTTGTTTTGTAGAACTTTTGACGTAGTTTTTTAATATGTAATTTTTATATCTTATTAATATGTCAATTTGTAAATAAAATGATTTTAAAAAGTAAAAAATTTTACTCCGTAACCCGCAATTTGTAATCAAGTTGGGGAGAGAGGGAGTATAAAGTCTAAATATTGCTAGCGGACTAGCGTCACTAGGGAAACGACTTTTCGAAAAAGTGAGGCTTGAACAGGCCCACAAATGGAGGGTTGAACTTTTTGGGGGAATTCGTATTTAGTACGGGTAAATATACTCCCTCCGGCTCCAATTTGATTACAAATTACGGGTTACGGAGTAAAATTTTCTATTTTTAGAAATCATTTTATTTACAAATTGGTATATCAATAAAATATAAAATTACATATTAAAAAACTACATCAAAAGTTCTACAAAACAAAAGGTGACAAGAATATTTTATTTCATCAAATACTTAATGAAATCGCGTAAACAAACAAAAGTTATCAAGAAGAGAGAAAAAAAAATTTGTAATCTATTTAAGGATGGAGAGAGTACACATCATTTGTATCAAATTAAATATTTTTATTTTTTGTCCAAAAGAGGTCTTTATTGGTTAATTTTCATGATACTAAAATTAATGAAACATTCTCTTTTTTTAGTAAAGCTCATTTCTCATTTTCTGTTCTTTAATTTTATACCATTTTTTTATTTTAATCAAAATTTAAATTAAATAAAAAAAAATAGAAAAGAAATAAAGAAAAAAAGTAAATCTTTTGCAGTATAGAAAAATAAAGTCATGAAGGAAATATTTTACGCATTGGTGAAAAAGATATTATTAATATATAATTAACTACAGTTTATATATTAAAAATACGTTACTCAATTTTCTTATGGTTCCCACATATTGAAAAAGAAAAAAAGCTTCTTTAGACAAAAAATGAAAATATTTAATTTGACAAATGAAGCATATGTTAACTTTTTATTACGGAGTACATTTTTTATTTTAAACTCAAACATTTCTTTATTTTTAAAACATTTTTTAAAATGTAGGTTTGGAAAAACAATTTTTCATTATTTCAGACACAAACATTTTTCTTCTCTTTATGAAAAAAAAGAAAACCATTAGGAAAAGGAGAGGGGGCGTTGGCGTCCAATTCTAAAAGCATAGAGAGCAGCGAAGTTATTCGCATCTTATTTGAAGTATATACTTTTATCCAAAGGGGCGTCGATGTAGCAGTATCAGAATCATGAGAGGCAACAGTATAAGTTTTGAAACATGAGCGTAACAGTACACATTTAATAAACCGCCATGATTGTTGGTCCAATAAGCTCCGAGTCAAGAATATGTCACTTAGGTAGGGGTGGACACGGCACGGTTTCGGAACCGCCGGTTCCGGTACCGCCACCCCTTGGTACCGGTACCGTGACCGGACCGGCCGGTACCGGTTCCGGTACCCGGACCGGCGGTTCCGGTACCGGACCGGTCACCCCTAATTTATTTTTTTTTGCTTTTTTATTAAATTTTGTGAAAAAAATAGCCTTAGCCTGAATTCCTCTTCTGTATCTCCGGCTCAATTCCTCTTCTCTCTTCTTATTGGACCGCTGGACAAAAAAAAAACGGTACCTGGGAAAATCAAGTCTAGTGGATAGCTGGGAAAATCAAAAAAAAAAAAAAGAAGCAGAAGGCCGAATAACAGAAGGCTGAGCAGAAATGCAGAATGCTGAAGAATTAATGACCGAAGGCTGGGAAAAAAAAAAATACAAACGGTACCGGAACCGGAACCGGAACTGCCGGTGCCGGTACCAAAAATGGGTACCGGAACCGGTACCGTGGGGGGCGGTGCCGGTACCGTTCCCCGGAACCGGAGACACGTGACGCCTGCGGTGACGGTAGCGGTACCGGCGGTACCGTTGCCGGTAGCGGTACTGTACCGGTACCGTGTCCAGGCCTACACTTAGGTTGTGTTTGGTTGAAGGCATAATATTTTAGAAAGGAAAATGAAATTCTAGAAACATTATTTTCAAATCATATTTTCCGTTGTTTGGTAGAAAAGAAAATATTTTCTCAAAAAATCATTTCTTTTATTACTATATCTATTTTTTAAACCTCTTCCTCTTTCATTTTTTCCGTTATCCAAATATTTCCTTTTTTTGTAATTTCAAAATTTAAACTTTGAATTTAAAAATTAAAAATTAAAACTTAAAATTAAATTTTAGAAACTAAAAATCTAAAATTTATAACTTAAAATTTAAAATGTCATATTTAAAATCTAAAATTTGAAATTAAAAAATTAAAATTTACATCGAAAATAAAAAGTTAAAATTTAAAACTTATATTGAAAAAATTTAAAATTTAAAATTCTAAATATAAAATATAAAAATTAAATTTTATAATATAAAAGTTTTTAAAAAAATTTAAAATATAAGACTTAATATTTAAAATTTAAAATTCAAAACTCAAAACTTATTTAAAATTTAAAATTTGAAATTGAAAATTTCAAATTTAAAATTTAAATTTAAAATTTAAAATTTAAAATTTAAAATTTAAAATTTAAAATTTAAAATTTAAAATTTAAAATTTAAAATTTAAAATTTAAAATATAAAATATAAAATATAAAATATAAAATATTAAATATTAAATATAAAATATAAAATATAAAATATAAAATATAAAATATAAAATATAAAATATAAAATATAAAATTTAAAATTTAAAATTTAAAATTTAAAATTTAAAATTTAAAATTTAAAATTTAAAATTTAAAATTTAAAATTTAAAATTTAAACTTAAAGATTCAAAATTTAAAATTTAAAATTAAAATTTAAAATTTATAATTTATAATTTCAAATTGAAAACTTAGAATTTAAAATTTAGAATTTAAAATTGATAATTTATAATTTATAATTTATAGTTTATAATTTAAAATTTAATATTAAAATCTTAAAATTTGAAAAATAAAATTTAAAATTTATAACTGAAAATTTAAAATTTAAAACAAAAAACTTAAATTTAAAATATAAAATTTTAAATTTTAAATTAAATTTTAAATTAAAAATTTAAATTTAAAATTTGAAAATTAAAAACTTTAAAATTTATTATTAAGAACTAAAAATTTAAAATTTAAAATTAGAAATTAAATTTCCAATTTTAGATATCAAATTTTGGATATTATATTTTAATTTTTTTAGTTGTTTATTTTAAATTTTAAAATTTAAAACTTAGATTTATTTTTAAATTTCAAAACTATAAAGTAAAAAAAGGGGTATGGGGTGGATGGAGGTTGGGGGTGTGTGAGGGACGCAGCAGATAGAGAATTAAAATTTTCCTTTGATTTTTTATGTAAATTGTTTTCATTCCTTTTGGAGGAATTATCTGAAAAATAATTATTTCCACTAATGTCACCAAATACAGGAAAATGAATCAGAATTTTTCTAGAAAATATTTTCTCCTCAACCAAATACGCTATTTTATACAATTTTGAGTCATTAAAATGATGGTTCAAAATTGTGGTATACAAGGTTACGACAACTCTCCCAACCAGTCGTGCTAACAATGATTTTAAAATAAAAAAATTAATAAAAGAAAGAATTTAATGTCTCATTCAACCGTCATGCATAATCTATTCACATATCTGTAAACACATTATGCATTTTAACAAATATTAATTTCTAATGATGAAAATACTTGCATGGGTTTTCGTGAATACCTCAAACATAAAATACTTTCTCTATTCACATAAATGAACACAATATATTTTCAATATCTCTTTTACTTTGGAGTTGTTTTAGAAAGCTTAAACAAAGTAATATTTTATATTTTATGGCATTGTTTTGTATTTTAATTATATTTTGAGTTATATGCATATATAGTCCGTGTGTGGTGTTTCATAAGTTAGTAGATAGTACTCAAATTTTTAAAAACTGTCAAATAGTCTTTGTGGTCAAACAAGCATAGTATAATTCATCCTTATATTAAAAAAATTGTAAAATATATGCAACACGCGTGTATTATGCAAAGCCGTGAATCATGTAACAGTAAAAAAACTAATCGAAAATTTCAATTGTAATGTGTAACTTTGAACCATAGTACAATATCTTCCATCTTTTAGTTTTACTCTTACAATGGATTCTTATGCTCTTCTATAGTGATATTTTTGAATCGTAGTACAATATTCTATGTGAACTCGACATTATTCTATTTTTTCTAGTAGCTTTATTATAAAGTAAAATCGTGTGGGAAAAGAGTTAGTTCACCTTTAACCACGAAGACGATGACAATTTCATGAGATAAACTTCTTGTTTTGTCACGATTCACATCTTTACACAGTACACCTATGTTCTGTGTGCTTTACGTTTTTCTTAAAAAATAGATTAATTATGTATTAGTTCTTTGACCACGAGAACTATTTTACAACTTTTAAAAGTACATGGATTATTTATCTACTTATGAAAGATCACATGAACTTTTTGTGCATTTAACTCTTTTATTTTTTCCCCTAAATCCGTCACTCATTGAGATCAGTGTTTTTAAACTCGGATGGGACCAAACGGTCCGACCGATTGAATTGTAACTCGGACACACAACTTGACCAGTCCAAACTCCAAAACTCGGTAAAATCCAAATTGACCCAGGACTTGCCCTCCCTATCGGGTCATGGTCCGGGTTAACATCATTGGTTTAGATCTAGATATTTTTCGGTCCGGTTCCAATCGGGACGGGGAAGAGGTGGATTTTTTGGGTCCCAATCTACACCAAGGATTGCACCCACCGCTCTGTGTGTGTATAAAAGGAGAGGCGTAAATGCGGCACATATTCTCCCAATCCTTCTCTACTACAACTTCTTCTACTTGCAAATTGGATTTTATATTATTTTTATTTATTTATTCCCTGCTTTTTCAACCAATTACTCCGTAATTAATTAATTTTCCCCTCGGGGATTGCAATATTTATCAGTAGCTCCATCCTTCTTTTCCCAATCCATTTCTCTCTCTATATTCCTATATATTCGTCGTATATATATAGAGTCCGGATCGAATTTATGATTGGCCCATAGCTTCTTCTTCGTCTTCGTCTCTGCTGCTGAAGAACTAAGCCAGAAGAGAGAACAACCAAATATGGTTGGAGAAAAGAACACCATCTCCCTCGAGGAGATCAAGAACGAAACTGTTGATCTGGTATGTCATTCATTCATTCATCTCCCTAGATTCCCCTTTTCTGTTCATTATTCTGTATTAATACCGATCTGGATCGACGAGATTTCGATTGTTATTAGTCCCGATTGGCCGGACGGCAGCGAGTTCTCCCCCGGAGAGATTTTCCGGCGGGAGAGAGATTTTTTATTGCCTTGTTTGGTAGTTCCGTATCTCGCTTTCTGTTTTGGGCACGAGTCGTAGTTTTACTTTACCAAACGCCTTTACTCAAACCTTTGCTTGTTTCCATTATCGTCTCTCGAGCTCTTCCAAACGCAACCTAGTGTCGGTTTAATTGACTGCCCGGTAAATCCATTTTTTCACAGTACTGTTTGAGTTTGTTACCCGTCCCAAATTACTCGGCGTATAACAATTTTCCATTTACAAGTCAAAATTGTGCATTTTTTAAAAGTAATTTTTTATAAACATAATTTAAAAAATTTACATTAAGGTAAAAATAATATTTTATTTTATCGAAGTATTTATTTTTGTTAAGAAAATTAATTTTTAATAGTGTCAAATCCAAATCCATTAGAATACATAAAATCAATCATTTCCTAGACAGAAAATTTAACTAACTATATGACATAAATTAATAATTAATAAAAAACACTAATAAATAAAATTAACTTTAGTATAAAGTCAGAGTTACGTTTGGACTCTTCCGTATATGGTACTGTGTTTATAAATTAAAATAATACGGAGTACCGTATAATAAATTAATAATTTAATAAATTAATAATTTCCTTCTGTTTTTGTCATGTGCTTATTTTTTTTCAACGCTCTTTACAATTTTTCCTTTTTTATTTTTCGTTTTTATCTCAGTATTGACTCCGGGCGAAAAATACGGAGAATTTGTTTAATAATACGCCGGCTGACTTGAATACTCCGTATTTTTTATCTACTATTTTGGAATTTTACTGGTTTTCTGTTATTTTAAAGCGTACTCTTAGTAACAGTAAATACTTATCCGATCCTATACAAATTCTTGTTTGTTTTTTTAATGGAACTTCGCAAAAAGTAAAATTAGGTACAATCCAAGTTTTGTACTAGTAGTTTAAAAAAAGAGTTTTAAAAAACAATCCCGCTAGGTTCAGACCACTTGGTATACACCAAATTGTACAACAAAAGTTACATCAACATTCTGATGGCTCACATTAACATAAAATATTAATACAAAGTTTAAGTTTTGTGATCATATTTTGTGCTATCAAACTTGGTGTAAACCAAATGCTGTGCTAAGTAGCATTATTTTTTTGGTAATGATCATCAATCCAATCATTTATTCTTTTCCTAAATAGAATAAATTTCTTTTTGTACAATCGAAGAAGAAAACAGAAGTTTTTAAAAAATTACTGTCTCATAATTATCTTCTTGGATAAGTTTCACTCAATTTTTTACTCCTTTGTCCCTCCAAACTTTTGTGAGTTTGACTTTTAAAGAATTTGAAGGGAGTATATTTTAGTGCTGACTTTTTAAAAATGTATGAGTAAATTAATAGTGAAAAAATATGATGTGATAAGTAAGTTAAGAATTAGTAGGGGTAAAAATTATATTTTAATAGAATTAAAAAATATTTTTTGAGACCGATGAAAAAGAAATATATGAATAGTACTCCCTCCGTCCCAGAGTATTTGTCCACTTTCATTTTTGCACACCATCCAATACACTTCTTTAATCCATTTTATCTTGTAATTTGTATATTAAAAAATTATAAAAATTATATATTAATAATCTATATGTTAAGACAAATCAAACAAGATCACACATTACTATATTAAGGATTACACATTGAGAGAATTTGATGAGTCAAAGTGCTTAGATGAATAGTTCCAAAAGTCAAAAGTGGACGAATATAGCGGGACGGGGAGCCTCTCTTCAGCCCTTAGAGCTATAATTTTATCTGCGATTGATGCGTGAGCATCAAGAACCTGCCTATAGCGATCCAAGAGGTCCGCTCCACTGGAGTCCATGCAATACGCTACCTCTTTTGTAAAGAGGCACGCGGCCAGATACAGAAGATACAGAAAAAGAATAATAAGGACCCGGATAATCGTAGTGTCAGTAACACCGTCTTAAACTAAATATTCGCTGATTTTCGTTCACACATGAATTATGTGCTAAGAGATTAATTGGAATCAAAAGAATATGGCCGACCATGGACTGTTTTTAACACCTTTTTAGGGTTCGTTTGGTAAAAGCTTTTGTGATTACTTTCTCTGTCTCAAATTAATCTTCTTTATTTCTTTTTGGGTTATCTTAACTTAATCTTCTTTTTGCTTTTTTGGAAAATTTTTTGTGGCTCATATGTATTCTCTTTTCTACATTATTTTTAACCAAATGATTTTATTTTCTTTAAATTTCGTGCAAGTTAAACTAGGATTATTAATTTGGGACGGAGGATTTATATATCTTTACTTTAAGAATCATAGATCTAATACCAAACATAGGCCTGTGTTGGGTTGTTTTTCTCAACTCAGTTTCCCTATTTCACCGTTCCAAATTTTATTCGCACGATTTTTATCCTTTTTTTATATAAAAAAATCACGTACGTTTTCTTTTTATTTTGTGACATAAAATACGTCTAATAAGAGGAATAAAAATAGTATGTGTTTTTTAAAAAAAAGTATAATAAGACAGTCACCATTACGTTACGTGACATGTTTGGTAACTTATGTTAGTTGGGTTTAGAAATTTAATGAGGGAACGAACAGATTTGTTTGGGCAAATTATAAATTACTCCCTCCCTTCCGAAACATTGGGCCAATTTGGGAATAACATTTTCAATTAGCGTTAGCGTTTTGGATAAAATTTTAACGGTGCAGATTAACTTCGAAAACGCTAACGCTAAAGGCTACCCGTAAATAGCCTTTTCAAAACGCTAACGCTAATCTCTAACGCTTTTCCCAAACAGGCCCATAGTTTGAGAATAATTTAATAAAAATTGCATTGCATATTAAGATAAGAATGATTTAATTAATGAGGACAATTACGGACTGTATTAGAATGCTAGCAATACAATTTGTATTTATTGTTTGAGAATCTAAATTCGTCTAGTTTAATTGCAAAACATCGAATATTTGGGATTAAGAAATTAAAATAAGTACGATAATAATTAAGATAAAATAAGTACGATAATAATTATAACAATTATTTCAGGTACATATAGATGTATATATATAGGGAGTATTTAAAAAATTAGGCCGGTGCAGTATATATAGTGGCGACATGCATGTGACGAATGAGTTGTTTATATTCCATTGGAAAAAGAAGAGAGTTGTATCCATCTGGCAGCAGACCTTCTTTTCCCACATTAAATAATCAAAATGGCTTCACGGAAAAGCATTTTATTCCTTCCAAATCTTTTCACGTGCTTGATATTCTTTTTTACAGTAGTATTAATTATTAGTTAATTAATTATTTAATGCTGAGTATCTTCCAAATAGAGAAAATTCACTTGCAATATAATTGTTTGATCTTTTTTTCACAACAAATCACTTTATGTCATGTTTGATCTCGATTTCAAATCCATTTTCTTTAAATATTGGCGTGTTAAAATAAAAAGTAAATTTACTCCGTATTTATTTAAAATTTACATCAAAAGTTTTATGTGGAGGTAATTGGCCGAATGATTTCAACCATTCTATACCAATGTTGTTAAACTTAGACCAAACAGGCAAGTCAGACACTTAAAACCCCGGGAAAAATTGAAATTGATCCAAAAAACTTAGGAAACCCGAGACTTGATTCTATGGCATTATTTTGATGTATCATTAAAAAACAATCTAGAATTTTATTATATTGAGAGTATTGTTTCCAAGTGAGGTCTTTGTCGACATAGGCCAACTATGTGCAATAAATAAACAATTGTCTTTGTGGTCTCCATTTGGAAAATAACATTTACGTACGTTTTCCGTGGTACAATTTTGGTTGGTTAGTTTAGTTAGGTGGCGTTTGGCTCTGAACTTTAAGGTTGGGTACTCTGACCGCCCAATGGAATGGTCTTTCCAAGGGGTTTTTTTTCCTAAGTTTCTTCAAACTTGAAGAAGAATCAATTTATTTTTTAATGTTGTTTTATAGAGTTTTTTATGCTCTTCAAATTTTTTTATAAATTTTTTTTTAATGTTGTTTTTAGACATTACTCTGTAGTTTTTATTTCTACTAATTTTTTTTAAATTTTACGCGAATACTCCTCATGTATGACTTTTATTGAAAATAGAGAGTGCTATTTTTGAAATTTCATTAAAAAAATTAGTTTTAGAATATTTTTCAAATTAGTTAATCAATCGATCTAGTTTTCTTTATACGAGTAATTAAAAAAGAAAAAAGAACAAATTATGGACTATGCCTCCAACGGTGAAAGGCCAAATCGACGCCGGGAAAATTGGGCGATGACTTGCGAAGATAGGGAGAATAGTCCGCAAAATGAGGCGTTTTGACTGTTGACTGTAGCTGCGAATTTGTCGCGTATGGGGCCCCATCTCAGTATTTGAAAGTCAACTTTGAATAGGTTTAATAATCATTAGTCATTATTTTTTTTTGATGATATTATTAGTCAGTAATTATTTGTTCTGCTTTCAATATTAAATAAAAATTACTGTGATATTTTTGGTACAGTTATATAATTTGTTTTTCTCCATTTTAAACCTTTATTTTCCTCCACTTCTTTTTGTCCCTCTATTATCTTTTTCTCTTTCCTACTCAACTGACCCCACCCCTCTTTTTTCCTCCACTCTTCTATTGTGGGGAGGACCTTTTTCCATCAAAGAGACCCAAAATTTACTCCTTATAAGGGTTTTTTTCCATAGTATTGGTATGAAGTAGTAGGTGATAAGAAACAATTAATGTGTATTTAATATTTACAATTTTCTTAATTATTTGGTAAAAGTAGTGATACATGTATATACTCTACAGATTATTATGTAGTACGGAGTATATCTTTTCTTGAAATTTTTAACTATTTTTAGTGTGCTACGCACAATAGAAAATGTAATTATTTTGACATCTAAATTTAAAGAACCATGCTACAATTACACCAAAAAATGTACCCCACTTGTACACCACAGCTTTGCACAGACATTTTGATGATTTACACCGACATAAGTGTTGGTGCGTTAACAAAAATGTACACGGGCACAAATGTTGGTGCGTAAACAAAAAATTAGTTTTACACCAACACAAAATGTTGGTGCAAACCTGCGGGGTACAAATTGGGATATAAATGTTGGGGTACACATAGCTTAATCCAAATTTAAAAGCAACTCGGAGATGTTTCTATTTCTGTTAAAAAACTGAAAACTACACACTCCAAAGGAAAAAAATTGAGAATCGTTTTCAGAATCAGTCTGGAAAACAAGTGTTACAACATGTGATTTTGCTAACCTCATTGGAACGGTTGGAAATGGCAGGAGAAAATCCCAATAGAGGAAGTGTTCCAGCAGCTGAAATGCAGCCGGGAGGGGCTGTCCTCGGAGGAGGGAGCCAACAGGCTTCAGATATTTGGCCCCAACAAGCTGGAGGAGAAGAAAGAGAGCAAAGTGCTCAAGTTCCTGGGGTTCATGTGGAACCCGCTGTCTTGGGTCATGGAAGCCGCGGCCATCATGGCCATTGCTATGTCCAACGGGGATGGGCGCCCGCCCGATTGGCAGGACTTTGTCGGCATCATCTGCTTGCTTGTCATCAACTCCACCATCAGTTTCATTGAAGAGAACAACGCTGGTAATGCCGCTGCTGCTCTCATGGCTGGCCTTGCTCCTAAGACCAAGGTAATAATTAATTCTATACAAAATGATGACATGTTTATAGTAACTAGAAAGATTAAAAAGGGAATGGCCACAAGAATGATTTTTTTCAAATGTTATTTTGTATCCGTTGGCCGCAAGAAAGAGTTCGAAGCTCATCACCGTCATTTAAATTCCAAAAAAGTTCATGTTTTTGAACTCAAACTTCAACATGGCCTCCATTGATGAAAGCTGAATAATGCCAGCTAAAACATGACATGGTGTTCTTGAGATGCTGATAGTGTTTGTTCTTGAGCTTGGAATTGAGTTTGAACTCAAGACTTGTTTCAAACTCAAACCTCTTCATGGCCTCCATTGATGAGAGCATACATAATGTTAGCTAAAAGTTTGCGATGAAATAATTACAGGTGCTCCGGGATGGGCGATGGAGTGAACAGGAGGCTGCAATTCTCGTCCCTGGAGACATTGTGAGCATCAAATTAGGAGACATCATTCCTGCCGATGCCCGTCTTCTAGAAGGGGATCCTTTAAAGGTTGACCAGTCTGCCCTGACCGGAGAATCTCTCCCGGCAACGAAGTATCCCGGTGACGAAGTCTTCTCCGGTTCGACGTGCAAGCAAGGAGAGATCGAAGCCGTCGTCATAGCAACTGGGGTTCACACGTTCTTCGGAAAGGCGGCGCATCTCGTCGACAGCACCAACCAGGTCGGCCACTTCCAGAAGGTTCTTACTGCCATTGGAAATTTCTGCATCTGTTCGATCGCGGTGGGGATGCTAGCGGAGATCATCGTCATGTACCCAATCCAGCACAGGAAGTACAGGGATGGAATCGACAATCTCCTCGTTCTGTTGATCGGCGGGATTCCGATCGCCATGCCGACGGTTCTGTCGGTCACGATGGCTATCGGGTCCCACAGGCTGTCGCAGCAGGGAGCCATTACGAAGAGGATGACTGCGATTGAGGAGATGGCCGGAATGGACGTGCTGTGCAGTGATAAGACTGGGACACTGACTCTGAACAAGCTGAGCGTGGACAAGAACTTGATTGAGGTGTTTGCGAAAGGTGTGGATAAAGAGTTTGTTCTCCTTTGCGCCGCGAGGGCTTCGAGGACTGAGAATCAGGATGCCATTGATGCTGCCATGGTTGGGATGCTTGCTGATCCCAAGGAGGTATTTCGTACTATTCCGTATTTCTAACTTGTTAGTTCTTAGATTGCCCTTTTAACCCTCATTGTCAAAGGCTCAACTGCATTATTTTTGAATAAAATAAGGAAAATAAAGAGGTAAAATAGTGAGAGAAAGACCCTTTGTTTGGTAAAATCCCAAAAAATTTGGGTCTGAGGAGGAGGGCGTGTGTATGCAGATTGTACCCTTGATAGTAGAGCCTTTTTCAGACAAAACAAGGATTGAAAAAGAAAATAGCCCTGAATTTGTATCATTCTCCATCTCTCTAGAATAGAAGGAAAAATCATTGCTTGTTAGTATAAAATTTACATGATTAGTCTACCTTATGAATTCTGAAATTTATTTTTGGCATATTCTTGAGTAAACACAAAAGTGCTCTGTAGAATCAAGAACACTTCTTTGATTTCCTAGCCCGTTAACGCTTCTTCTCCACACAAAAACACAAAATTCTTGAGAAACAAGTCACATCAAGAACTCACTCTCTGACCACATAATCTTATGGTGTTCTTATGCTGAGCATTATTAATTCTTTGTTAGGCACGAGCTGGTATTAAAGAGATCCATTTCCTACCCTTCAATCCTGTGGACAAGAGGACTGCCCTAACTTACATTGATAGTGAAGGCAATTGGCACCGTGTTAGTAAAGGTGCCCCGGAGCAGGTCTGCATCTCATTTCTTCTCTTCTCTTCAATTAATAAGACATGAAAAATCTTTATAAAGAAGAACAGGTTATTTGTTACTTACTGAACTGCTTCTTGGTCTCATCTCTTTTAGATTTTGCAACTGTGCAATGCTCGGGATGACGTCAAAAGAAAGGTTCATTCAGTCATTGACAAGTACGCCGAACGTGGGCTTAGGTCATTGGCTGTGGCTACACAGGATGTGCCTGAGAAGGTGAAAGAGAGCCCAGGAACCCCATGGCAATTTGTGGGGTTGCTACCCCTCTTTGATCCTCCCAGACATGACAGCGCTGAAACTATTCGCAGGGCCTTAAATCTTGGTGTTAATGTCAAAATGATCACAGGTGCATAATTCTTCTTACCATATTTGTTGATTAGTGTCTTGATATCTTTTTATTTTCCTCCAACATTATTCAAATTTTTGCTGGTTATGTTTTAGGTGATCAACTTGCGATTGGTAAGGAGACAGGACGTAGACTTGGGATGGGAACAAACATGTACCCGTCTTCTTCTTTACTTGGCCAAGATAAAGATGCTTCCATTGCTGCTCTTCCAGTGGAGGAACTGATTGAAAAGGCCGATGGTTTTGCTGGAGTGTTTCCAGGTCTGTGCATTTGATTCATTCTCCCTTTTGGTAACCCGATAATACCAGAGAAAAGCCAGTAACTGTTTGAATTTCCCATGTTTATTTGTACTTAATAAATGTGAAAGATGACGTGTTTGTGTTTGTGTGTGATGTACAGAGCACAAATATGAAATAGTGAAGAAACTGCAAGAGAGGAAACACATTGTTGGGATGACAGGAGATGGTGTGAATGATGCCCCTGCTCTAAAGAAGGCCGATATTGGAATTGCAGTTGCTGATGCTACTGATGCTGCTAGGAGTGCATCTGATATTGTGCTCACTGAACCAGGGCTGAGTGTTATTATCAGTGCTGTTTTAACTAGTAGGGCCATTTTCCAGAGGATGAAGAACTATACCGTAAGCTCTTATTTCAAACTACATCTTTTTACGATATGAAAACCGGGTCCCACTCTCATGTCTCACCGCACACCTCAGTGACTGGGTGGGGAGGGGGGCCCATTTGTGACATGGGGGAGAAAGTTGATGATTTATGCTACTAACTGATTTCAATTATTTTTGGTTGGTTTGAACAGATCTATGCAGTTTCCATCACAATACGTATTGTGGTAAGCAGAATAACTGCATTGCAAGAATTATAATTAGTATCCTTTTTTTGGGGTAATTATCCCAACTTAACGGCACCCTTTTGTGTGTTTTGCAGTTCGGTTTCATGTTTATCGCGTTGATATGGAAATATGACTTCTCTGCATTTATGGTTCTTATCATAGCCATTTTGAATGATGGTAAACCATCATAACAGCCTAAATCCTGTTTACTTAATCCTCTTTCTTTCACATATGAGCTCATCGTGTTATCATTTTTTTTTCTTTACAGGGACCATCATGACCATCTCAAAGGATAGAGTAAAACCCTCTCCATTGCCAGATAGCTGGAAACTGAAAGAGATTTTTGCCACCGGCATTGTTCTTGGAGGGTATTTGGCTTTGATGACAGTTGTTTTCTTCTGGCTCATACATGACACCGACTTCTTCTCCGTAAGAAATTATGTGGTTTTCTTGATATGCATTAGGCTCCATTTGTTTCAAAAAAAACTTCTTTTTCTTGAAAACAAGTTTATTTGCGTATAAATGTAATGGATTTTGCATTTACTGTTTGTTGTTGACAGGACAAATTTGGGGTGAGATCACTCAGGCATAACGACAAGGAAATGATGGCGGCCCTATACCTCCAAGTCAGTATAGTGAGCCAAGCTCTCATCTTTGTAACCAGATCCCGCAGCTTTTCTTTCCTTGAACGCCCTGGATATCTGTTGCTCTTTGCATTTTTGGCTGCCCAGCTGGTAAATACTTTTTCTGTTTCCAAACAAGCCCTAAAGAACACTTACTAGTGCATGCATGAAAAAACAAAAAACAAAAAAAAAAGTTCAGCTTTGAGACCCTCTACTCAATGTGCAGGTTGCGACAGCAATTGCTGTGTGGGCTGACTGGGGATTCGCGAGGATCAAGGGTTGTGGATGGGGATGGGCTGGTGTCATTTGGCTTTACAGCGTTGTTACTTATTTCCCACTCGACGTGTTGAAGTTTGCCACTCGTTATGCCTTGAGTGGAAAGGCATGGCTGAACTTGCTAGAGAACAAGGTATAATAAATACATCCTCTAGAGTTTAAATTTAAAAAAAAAAAAGACAACAAAAATGCTAGAAACCCACCAAGTTCTTCGCACATACAGTAATTGTCAATGAGAAATATAATGTCAGTGGAACACTAATGGTGTCACCCTTGGTGGGTTTTGATCTTTCCTAGTCTGATGTGTTTTGATGTGGATTACAACAGACTGCCTTTACCACAAAGAAGGACTATGGAAAGGAGGAGAGGGAAGCACAATGGGCTCATGCCCAAAGGACTTTACATGGACTTCAACCACCCGAGTCTTCGAATCTCTTTACCGAAAAGAACAGCTACCGAGAGCTGTCAGAAATTGCAGAGCAAGCAAAGCGTCGAGCCGAAGTGGCCAGGTATGGTGTTGTGAACACTTAGCACATTTTCATTTGAACCAACTTTTAAACGTGGTCATGGTTCATTTGGTATGAGTCATGCTAGGGTGCCCTAAAATATATAGTCCCAAGTTTTTACACTCATTTTTGCTCTCACAGACATAATAAATGGGTAGCAAGGTCCAACAATTTTGTTTAGAAAATTGTGAAAAACACGATTTTTACCAAAAAAAACCTGGAATCCCCTTACCTATGTTTCTTGTTGTTGACTATTGTTTACGTTATTTTTTTTTTTTGCAGGCTAAGGGAGCTTCATACGCTCAAAGGTCATGTTGAGTCGGTGGTGAAGCTCAAAGGATTGGACATTGAAACCATTCAACAGCATTATACCCTTTAAATTTAGTTTCCACAATTTGCCAGCCAGCTTCAAGCAGTTGCAAAGCAGGCACTTCGATAATGACGATTCAAGCAAACTAGATATACTGTAATTTCGCAACACAAAAACGCGTCCTTGCTTAGTTAACAAGTTTTTACTGTGTCTTGTCTTCTTCTCTCTTATATACGGAGTATATAGATATATGCAATGCACCAAGTTTCAGTAAGTTGTGATCTCATGTATTTTTCTTGGATTTCTAATGCGTTTGTTTGCATGCAATATTTTATGGCAAATTCGAATCCTTTTTTTGGGGAAATAATCTTGTCATGTAATAAAGCTTTTTTTTTTATGTTGCGAATAAACAAATGGTTGAACCAAGCTGAGATTAGCTTTTTCACAAATCTCATTGTCATCTATACGTAGCTTTTAAATTTCAGCCCATGCCCGGCTTTTAATGGTGGTTAATTCACTCCATGTTTGTCAATTTTTTCAGTGGAATAATCTTCTGAAAATTATGCCTACAATTAATTCATGCTGAGGAAACTAATTGTCAAGAAGTCAACTCTTTACCAGACATGGTCTTACTCTTTGTTTGGATTTTGTTTGGATGAAGTGAGAATGGGAAGAAAGAAAAATGGAGAGAAAATAATTAGAAAAAACTTGTGGTGGGAGGAGATGCAATTTTCTCCCCTATATTGGAGAGAATACTTTTCATTGGTAATTTTCTTTCCTACATTTTCTCACCAAAACAAATAATAGAAAATGCTTTGAATATTCATTTTCTCACCTTGTATTTTCTTTCCTCCCATTTTCTTATCATCCAAACAATGTGTTAGTGTCCACACTCTTTGTGGCAAAAACCCAATGAATAATACTAGTAGTAGCACTAAAATTCTTCCGCAAGTTGTAACGTTTTTTTTTTAAATATAAATTTTATGGTGATATATGTATACATTCATCAATGTAAGTACGAAGTCTATACAACATTTTTATTCTTAAGACTAGTAATCATCATCATTTTCACCTCTTGACCCCCCTAGGAATCTCCTAACAACCGCAGCGGCTGCACCAATGAACACAAAGAGGGCCAATGTGTCAAAACCGCCGCCAACGCCTATTGCAACACTCGGTCCGGGAGCAAAGAATGAGAATGGCGACCAGCCCCACCCGCCACCATAGAACGGCATGCTATACCCATATCCACCGACTAGAGGAGGAGCAACTGGTGGGTTAATGTATACATTGGTCCTGCGAAATTATAAATAATGAAACTGTGAAGTTGAGCAAGCTAAAGCAGATGTTTGTTTGTACTTTGCACAAAACAAATTTGTGTCACAACCATATAAGATTTGGTTTGTTGACTAATACATCGTCCGTACTCTTGAGGGAGGAGATATAGTGGGCAATTGGCATGTTTGGTTTTGTGCACCGCGAAACGATAGATACATTTCTCTATGCATACGATGTTCACTTGCCAAATGCATTGCCAACAAAAGGACAGTAACTGTCAATTACTCATAAAGGTAAAAATGTAAATAAACATTTTTTTAGTTGTCTCTAACCTCTACTCTTGCTTACACCCCTTCATGGATGATATGAAATGAAGAAGAGTAACAGTTGCTCTTCATCACCCTCACTCTCCGAAAAAAAAAACTCCTATGTAAGAAGAAGTCGTTACTCTCCATTACCCCTTCTTACACCCCATCCACTAGAACCTAGTCTCATAAAGGAATGTCCCGATTAATTTTTAAGGTTCTCTATTCGATTTTCTAATGCATCCCTTGGTTCCCTCCCTGTTTGTTTACTCTACATTACCCTTCCTTATACCCCATCCAAATTGAACCTAATCCTGACAAATAATCATAAGTGACCACAAGGATATTTCCGTGGAAACCAAAACAACAAAAACTACGTGTTTTTCTAGTCGTACCATGTCATTCATATATTTGGGAGCATGAAAGTCGATCTATATAGGAAGAAGAAGATGATCTTGAGGCCTCTTCTTCCTTCCTAGTAACAAGCCCTTTTATAGGCTAATGGGAACACTATTTCTAGGGTTAGTATCTTGGGTCTTCTTCTTGGATAGCGCCCAACTTTAGCCCTGGGAGAGGATTATTCCATCAACAACAAATTTGGGGGTAGAATAAAGGAGACAAGCTAATAGACCTGGAATTATTGATCCTTGGAGCTGAAGCACGCGGCGCAGAAGGCGACAAACGGAAGGACTGACCGCCAACTCTCCCGCCGCTCTTAGCAGCGGATGCAGGGTCTACTGAAGCCATGGTCAGCACCCCTGCAGCCAGCGCAACCACAGCCAATTTCGCAAGCTTATTCTCACTTTTCCTTCAAGTATTTCACAAGCAATTAGTATTCCAAACCAGTTAAAGAGAATAATTCAATGGAAGATAAAGAGAAAGACATTAAGGCTCTGTTTGGCAGCCAAGCCAAATGCTTTTCCAGCCGAATTTAAGTCATATCAGTGAAATCAAACTTTGCCAAACGGGTATTGGGATAGGGAATCGGAGAATCGTACCTGAAAGGCCGTTCCCCGTCATCGCCACCGTCGTCTGGGTTGGGGGAGGCGGAGATTTTGGCGGGAGTTGCGAAATTGCAGCTGAGAGTCCTCCGCTGGGGTTTGAAGGATGAAGAAGCGAGAGGAGTCGTTAGAGAGGTCTGGTGAAGAAGGGATGAGGACATGCTTGCAACGGCCGCCGGCGATGAGGATCTCGGCGGGATTTTACTTTCCGGTAAGGGCGAGAGCAGAGAGAAACAGGGCTTCTTCGCTTATGGCGCAATGAATGATGACTGTAGAATGATATCCTTATCCTGCCTCTTACCATCATTTAAGTTCTAAAAAATAAATAAAAATAATAAAAATAAAAATAAATAATCCTTATCCTGCTTCTTTCCATCATTTAACTTCTAATAAATAAATAAATAAATAATATTACCTCTGTCCTAGTGTATTTGTCCAGTTTGACTTTTTCGAGTCAAACTGAATAAATTTTGAAGTCCAATTACTCTCAATTTATATTATATATTAGCATAATGAAATACGATTTTGAAAGTTCTCAATACCATAAATCCAATAAAGTCATTTTTATGTTAAAATAGATTACGATTTTAAGCATTTGGACTTTGAGCATGACTCAGATCGTCTATGGTATATTTGTATGCTCCAACCACAATGAAATTGCTTTGACTTGTGCCTGTGTTCGGACCCTGTACTTTAGATTGTGTTTTGGACGTTGTGCTTTGGTGTCTCTGGGCTGCGGCTTTGACCACTAGTTTTGGCTTCAGGGTTTGGTTCATAATACTAGTACTTAATTTTGCACATGGTTTTTGGGGTTAGCTTTTGATTGTGTTTGATCCTTATTTTCTCGTGGGCTTTGGCTGGTCATCCTTTGGGCACTTAGCTTTAACAATTGGTGTTTTCAATGCTGCTTTTGGCCTAGTATTTTAGTTTTGGACATTGTGCTTATGCTTTGGTCATTGTGTTTTGGTTTTGAACATCATCATATTAATGTTTGGTCTTGGATGTCTTCGTTCTGCTACTGGCCAATGTTTTTAAGCTCGGACCGGACCGGCCGGTCCACCCGGTCCGACCGTGATCCAGTTATTTGTCCGGTCCGGTTTAACTTTAAACCCAGTTTCAATAAAAACCGGAAAAACCCGTATGAACCGGTGACCCGCTCGACCCGGATCGACCCATACGGTTCACGGGTCTGAAGCTTTTCTCATATTTTAGTGAAAAATTTAACACTGTGTTTGTTTGGAGGTAGGGACCAAAATTGAGATATGTCAAGTGAGGTAGGGAGAGGTAGAAGGAGTTAGGATTACCTCTTAACAGTGCAATTTATATGACCGCCGCTGCTCCTCAATTCCGATTGCTGCATAGTTAATTTTTTTGTTTCAATTTCAATCGCCATCTGCTCCTCAATTCCTATCGCCGCTGCCCTTTTTTTTCCTCACTTTTTTCATTCTGCTCTATAGCCTTTACCTACTTCAATCTTCAATTTTGGACTTTTTACAATTTACAATTTCCAGTTTTTAATTTGCTCCGTGTACTACAATTTTCACTTTTTTTTTAAGTTTCCAGCTTTCTTTCACTTTTTTTTCAGTTTTTGATTTTTTTGTTTACCTTTTTTCAGTTTTCGATTCTCATCTTTTTTTCTGTTTTTTTTTGTGGTTTTTAGTAATTTAATAATTTTATTTCCACAAGTATATTTTAGTAATTTTATTCTTTTCTTATCTCACGTTACCTAATAAGCAAATTTTTTAACTCATTACCTTACTTCACCTACCTTTAATTACCTACCTTCAATTAACTACCATTACCTATCTAATAAAACTTTTACCTACCTCCAACCAAACATACCCTAATGTCCTCAAGGAGAATCGAACCCACGCAGTCACGTTCACTCTGGCATTGAAGGACCAGCTGCGCAATTCATCATTTGTTTCAATCCATGTACAGTTTCTTATATACTCTGTACTAACTTTAATATATGGGCCTTGTCCATTCTAATTATTTGAAAAAACCTTCAATTTTTTAAGAAAGAAAGTCAAATTTATGTAATTTAAATTTCCTTTGCGAACTTTAAAAATAATTTAAAGTATAGAAGATTTTTTATGTAAATATAAATATGAATAATTCATCTAAAAACTATTATCACTATTAAAAATTAAATAATACGGAGTATTTATTAATTGTAAATAAATATGCTACAATATATCTTTACTTTATTTTTTTCATATTTTAACCAACTAAATATAAGTTTGAAATGGTAAGTCATGCCGAGTATATATAAAACTTTTGGAGAAATAGTTATTATAGGTTCGTTGACCGAGTCGTTGACCAGGTTCAACCGATTGACCCTTGACCTACTCGCTTTGCCGGTTCGACGTCCGGTTCGATTTTCAAAACATTGCTACTGGCTTGTAAGCCTTGGTTTCTTGATTTGCCACCTTGACCTGTTACAAGGCCTACGTGCCTATGTTTGTTGTTGACTCGATATGCCCATTTATTCTTGTATTCTTTGCACCTGGATTTCAATAATATTTAAATGTCACCAAATAAAAAAAAGATACAAGCTCTCGTATGAACCATCACGGACTACTATGGGCTTTTAATTTCTATCATCTCCGATGGAGCCAAATTCACTATTTTTTTTGGCTCAGGGGTGTGATTGAATAACTTGAAAAATGGTAGCAAAACCAGAACTTCTCTTTCTCTCCGGTTATTTCTTATGTGTGTGTCTCCAAAGAGAATATAGTAGGAGCTTATACTACAATGATGAGGAGACCCTTCATACCACTCAAGTTAGGAGAGAAGTTCAATTTCATCTTCTTTATAGATTATAAAATGCAACAAGAATATTTGGGATAAACCAAATATGATAAAGACAAATATAAGAGTAAAATATGTCATCAAATACATAAATACGAGGCTTAAGTTTTAAAGATATAAATATTTATTTTTTATAATAAAGTGAAAAGTTTACTCTTTTTTAATATTAACACTTTCACATTGTGGTACTCCGCTGACACCACGACTACCATCACATTGCCAAATCCGCTGCCACACTACCACCCTTTGCCGCCACATTGACAACTTTGTCGCTGCCATATTGCCATCCTCTCCCCCACAATACCCACCCGTACACTGCCACATTCCCTGTGTAATTGTCAACTTTGTTGCCACACTATCACCTTGTTCGCCATACAACCACGGAAATCATTGGGGTCCCACAGTCACCGTTGCCCGTGATCTGAAAATTTTCCCCTCCATCCAAAAAACAACACTGTACCGACACTAAATGGAACTAAAGCTCCATCACCAAAAATGTATAGTTTTTCTCGCTGAAGGCACAAAAAAGGGGGAGATGAAGTCTTGAATAAAGATGTTTGTGGGACCAAGAGAGGATGAGGCACTAATATGAGTAAGCTTCATGGCTTCCAAACCACTAGGCAAACCCACCACCACCCATGTGGGTAGGATGCCACGAGGCAAAACTTTACTATGCAAATATCTATCAAAGTTATAGCATGATGGGTTACATTCAATTCTTTAATTTATTTTTAAATTTAAAAAAAATTTAGGATCCTTGTGGTTATAGTTTGTGGATACTGAATGGTAGAAATGACACGATAGTGCATGATTGGCCGGAGCATGGGTAGTACCCATGAGTGCCCCTTTCCCTCTATATATTTTAGAGAATTTGGTAACGTTTGAAGAATAATAGACTGAACTCTCCATCACTATATTTTGACTTTAGCGAATTTGTGTAAACTCTAACTTCTTCATCACTTTCTTATATCTCAACGCATCTCGGAGTTTTAAGCACTAGCGTAGAAGTCCAAGGTTGTATGGTTCTCCTGCAATCAGCACAACGAATCCTCCGGGTGCAGTCAGACCTACAGCACGGCGTTCTCCGAACTATGAAGGTTTTGTGTGGTACAGATATTGGAATGAAGAAGGAATTAGTGACACTAATGTGGTAATGGGTAATTTAGGAATTGAAGGTTAAAACTCATAGGATTTGTATTTATGTTTTTTTCTTACTTTAGCTCCTATTTGTAGATATTTCTTACACCAAATTATACCGCAAGTTGTACACTTCCCCCCTCTCTCCACCTCCCATTTTTTATCTAATATTCAAAAATTGAATCCCCCATAAGAAATAAGCGGTGGGGTACGGTGAATTTGTAAGTATACAGAGTATCTAACAGTATGATTATAATTTCTTTTGTACTATAATGCTCTAAGAAATGTTTGGTTTTCACATCGATGACATCGCTACTCCAATCTGCCTCAATAAAATTTAGACCTAATAAGGTTGAAATATTTGAATGACATGACATCTCAAACAATAAGTTGACAATAATCTAAGCAATATAATTACATTGGACGCCATTTGGATTTTTTGAATAACTTTTATAATGATTAATACTTTGTTTGAAAGCAAGCAATTTCATCGTGTTTAATTAGATTTTCTTTATTAAATTATTGAAAAGGTTCGAATGATATTAAATTTTATTACATTACTTTAAATGTGTTGTCAACTCAATATTTCTAATATCATGTCAGCCAAAATCTTACAAAATTATGTCCAAAGTTGATTAAGGTCCTATTCTCTTCAACATATTTATGATACTTATTGGTTATTCTTATCAGAATAAGAACAGAACAAATCATATCCATCCATACTAGAAAAGTGTTTTAAAAATAAATAATTTTAAAATAATAATTTGAATTTTAATTAAATTTATTCAGATCAAATCAGATTAGCCTTAAAAAATTGAATTGAGTTCAAACCAGATTAGCCTGAGATCCTAAGGCTCCACTCCATTCATCTTATTTTTCCTGACCCAATCTAATTTTTTGTAGTTCTAATATGATATAATCTGATTGGATCTAATCTGATCTGGTCTGATTGGATCTGATGTGATTAATTATGATTTGATTTAAAACTCAAATCAATAATTTGATATGACTTTATAATAACATTTGAAAATTGTAATGATAATTCATATTATAATATAATTAATATTTTTATTTTATGATTATTTTTTAATTAAATAAAATTAGTTTATTCATATATTAGAATAATCATTCATATTTTAATGTAATAATATAATATAATAATATTTTTTATTCATATTTTATAATGTAATAACTTTTAGAAACTCAAATTACAGGTAGCAATAAAAATGTATTTTTAAAATAGAATTAGATTGAAATTGTCAATATATTTTAAAAATAATTTTTCTGAATTCTAATAATTAAGGATTACTTTCTCAGTTTTCTATTTAACTTGTTTTAAAACTTTATTCTTTTTCATTTTTTTTAAAAAAATATGTTTCATATCATTTTATTTTTTCTACATAAATTATAAACGCACAAAAGTTTCATTTTATTTCTTCTTAAGTTTTTTCAAGAGAAATTTAATTTAGTTTTTGAAAGAATCGTATCAAGTGAAGCAAGTAAAAAGTATGAAATTTAAAAAACATGGAGTAATAGCGACAATGATGATGATGATGATGATGATGATGATGATGATGATGATGATGATGATGATGATGATGATGATAATAATAATAATAATAATAATAATAATAATAATAATAATAATTCTTGATTGGATCTAGTCTGATCTGATCTGATTGGATCTGATCTGATCTAATTTTAATAAGAATAAGAAAAAAGTGAAAAAAACAAGTTGAACGAAATTGGGCCTAAGACCCAATTCCGTTCAGCTTATTTTTTCTGTTTTTTTCTTATTCTTATTAAAATCAGATTAGATCAGATATCACTAAATCAAATCAGATCAGATCAGATCCAATCTGATTAAACTAGACCAGATCATATCAGATCCAATCAAGAATTATTACTATTTTTATTGTTTTAAATTTCATACTTTACTTGTTTTATTTGATACGATTCTTTCAACAAATATATTTTATTTGTCTTGAAAAATATTAGAAGAAAGAAAATGAAACTTTTGTACAATTATAATTTACTTAGAGAAAAATAAAATGATATGAAGCACTATTGTTTTTCTTAAAAATGAAAAAGAATAAACTTTAGAAAAAAGTTAAATAAAAAATTGAGAAAGTAATCCTTAATTATTAGAATGTCGGAAAAATTATTTTTAAAATACACTGACATTAACAATCTAATTCTAATTTTACAATACATTTTTATCGCTACATGTAATTTGAGTTTCTAAAGTTTTGATCTTTTATTACATCGAGTTGATCAGCTTTAATCATGACTTAAATAAAATTAACATTAAATATTCATATACAAAGTATATTTTAGTGTAAATAATCATAAAATAAAAATATTGATCATATCATACGGAGTAATATGTTTTCATTACAATTTTCAAAAGTTATTATAAATTTAAATCAAATTATTGATTTGAATTTTAAATCAAATCATAATTAATCAGATCAGATTCAATAAGTTCAGATTAGATCCAATCAGATCAAATAAGATCTAATCAGATCAAATTCAATCATCAAATCAAAATTACAAAAAAATCATATCGGAAATAAAAAGTTGACGAGGCCTAGTCGAACTGGGTATGTAAAATAGGAGGGTAATGCTAGGGGTACACCAACATGGGGTACCCCAAGCCAACACAGACACACACAAACACAAAATGTCTGTGCAACACAGACACTTTGTGTCTGTGTGTATGTGTTGGCTTGGTGTACATTTGAAGTACCTCATGTTGGTGTACCTCTAGCTTAATTCAAAATAGGATGAATATTTGGAGGAGCGTGCAAACTACTCCGTATAATGTTATCGGCTGAATCTTTCCTTTGTAACTTTCGATTTTCACAGCCGCAAGCCTGCGACCTCTTCACCTAACCTTCGTTCTGCCGTGCTCACTGCTTCTCCTACGTCGGCCGCCATCAACCCGTTTTTGAGGTATATCTAATCTATGAATTAGTATTGTTTTTTGTTAGAAGATAGTATTGTTATTATAACAACGATTAGGTTTATGTTTGATTTCATGTAGTGATGGATTTAATCTCTGGGGCTGTGTTAGCTTATTTGATTATAATACACGTAGTATACTCCCAAATATGAATTTTCTACTATAAATATTCGTTGCCGCTATTCTTCAGTTTTTTTTGTCACGTGTGTAAGCAAATGCTTCATTCGTATCTAAATGTTAGTTTCATTTTTAACGTGTTCTTATATTTTGTGGAAGTACATAATAATAGTTTATTGAAAGATATCCTTTGGATACACATGGAAAAAATGAACAAACACAAATTCACAGTATTGATTGATTTTTTAAAATTTTTATGGTGTATCTGTATTCAATTTCAATGTCAAAGCTGTCTTTCGTATTAAAAATATTTGTACTAATTATAAGCCGTATTTTTGAAAAATCAAGCGTGTAAAACACGAACATCTGTATACGTACCCCGAATGTAATGTATAAAGTGTATAATAAGACGTATTTTTAAAATGTGACACGTATTATGCACGAATGTACGAATAAACGTATTATACATGTATCCGAATAACCCTAAAAGAGCTCTGGGGGTTTTGTTCTTCATTAAAACAAAAAAATTGAATTTAACCCACGCTTTAGGTTAAGTTTCTGCAATCTATTTATGCATTTTGACTTTGTCTGGTAGGGTAACGCGACTTGTTTCAAGCTTCATTCTTCTTTGCATTATGGATGTCAATCATGTCACGAAACATTACGGTTATGTTACACAAGAAGAAGTCATGAAGCTTATAAATCACCCCCATATTACAGAACAAGATGTGCAGAAGTTTTACACAAGGGTTGGCCCAGAGCTGGAGAGGGTATTTGGCACTACTGAACTTTTCAGCGAGATTGATACGATTGTAGCCATGTCAGTAAGGCACGAGAAACTGAAAAACAGAAAGGCAGAAAACACGTTGAAGCTGGGCCTTTACTTCATGTGCATTCAGTACATGTACAGCCAAAAGGAGATTTTGAAAATATACCATTTGCTGTATTTGGTAAGATTCAGGTTCATTATCGAAACATCACTACTGGAGAACCGATGCACCTTGATGTTTACAACCGAAGTATTTGATGATGCTGACAACATAAGCCCAAGTGGTGGTTATTTAACTCTTGGTTGGCCTGATTCTATGAACAATTATACTGATTTGTGGGTGACATTGCACAGAACAACTATAGAAGTCGATCTCAGTCTCATAATTGGGAATGTTGTTGTTCCGTTTGCTCAAGATTTTTTTTTGGTGGAGGGTACAACTGAAGGCGATTTTGAAGAATTAAGATCAAAACAATTATGTACCACTACCAAACTTTGCTCTGCTACCTTGAGTTATATTGCAATGCCATTTGGTGCCCTATGCAAAGTGCGTGTTCGATTCTCTAGCAGAGACGAGGGCCTCGTAGTTAATCTTGCTGGGAAAATTGTTGCGCGATATAAGAACACTTGTGGAAACTATAACTCAGAACCGTGCGTTCTTTTTGAGAAGAAGAATGGCTTTGAAGCAGTAAATATGAAGGAACGCCTGTGTATGTCAAGAAGATGGTTGGGACTGCATGCATATTCATCACTTGAAATTGATCTGGACTTGACAGACTTCAACACAGGGAAAAAGCTTGCTAATAAAACAGTAGAAGTGTTTTGCAGGGATGAAATATATGCAGGTGAATGTGCAGTGGATGTGGGTGGTTTTGCGATTGTTGTGGATGCGAGCCTGTTTCCGTTTCCACATTGCGGTTGGAGTGATTGGGACAATGTCAAGGTAGTTTATTCTCTAAAAGTAATAACTTTATGCAAAAAGAAGTCCAAATGGCTTAAGCCACTAAATTGTGAAGCACTATACACTCAAGATAAACATAGGAGTAGTAAAAATATTGCAGTTAATGAATTTAAGTTTCCCCATAGCTAATGGAAAGTTGCCAGTTTGACAATGTGTTAGCTTATGGACCAAATTAATATGGCATACTAAACTTTGTCTACTTATTACTTGTTCTTTTTATGATGTTTTTGGCAATAAATGTAACCATGCATCAAGGGTCTAACAAAAATAGCCTCTCTGCTGGTAAGGTAAGGTTGCACACATCTAGACCCCCAAGACCCCAACAGAGTTGGGTTTGCATAATGGTTTTTTGTTGTTGCTGTCACCTCAAGGTTTCATTTTAGTTCATGTTCTTCTCGTTTGCTATGACTAACACTAGTATTGTTAAAAGGAAACACGTTACATTAAGAGAGCATTGCATTAGTTATATATATTTATTTTGCATCACTCTTTATCTAACATTTTCTCATTTCTCTTCAGTATGATAACAAATCGTTTTCATCCAAGAATGGAAACCCTAGGTTTGTGATTCTTCCATTTGTGCACTTTCAATATATTACCTTAGATGTTTCTGAAGTGTTTACTGGTTTATAAATTCAATTTGTCAACTAGGTCTCTTGATCAAGATCGAGAAAGTATACTGAGACCATCAGATTTAGTAGAATTCTACTCACTCTTTATCGGCTGCAAAACAATGGGGACAGCATTGAACATTATTGGCACTGTTGAATTCTCTTCCGATAATAATACTCACTACCTGTTCCAGAGGATGGGTGATGATGGTGTGGAAGTAGAAGATTCACAGAAAGTTTTACCATTGAACGATGTGTATACACTTTTTGATGAGTGTAGCACACTTGAAATGAAGGTCAATCTGGAAGATGTTGGTGGGAAATTTCAGAATAGAGGTTTTGCTACTTATGGTCTTGGATCTCGTCCCCATAGACCATTTTATAATACCCAAATATGTTCTGTTTTTCCGGGCAAAGAGGGGTTTTGTGCATTGAATTACTCCCTGCTCTCAAGAGCTTGTCAAGCGAACATCGAGATCATTTTCAAGATTAAAAGTGATCATTCCGGGGTTGACAAGATCTATGGAAGTGCAGTCACGCGATATAGTAACTTTGACTACTCAACTAAGTTCATGAAAGATTATTTTCAGAGCGTGCTTTTCAAAAGGACTGAAAAGGATTCAGTAGGATTAAAGGATAATGGGAGAGTACCACTTTCTCGATGTAAAGTTGCGGTGCCAATAGATTCGTCCCTCATTATCGAAGTAGATTTTTGTGGCATGTCTTTGACAAATCATCTCTTTTGCATGAAAGTGTTCGAGATTGGATGTTGCTCCTTTAAGACGGAGACAAATGATTATAAACTTCGCATCAACTTGACTTGGAGTGATGGTAAGTTATTGTATGTTTTGGTTATACTCTACTTTTCAGAGTGTTATTTAATTTTTTTGGTTTGAAAGGAAAATGTTCCAAACCTAAGCATTGGGTCAGTTGTCTAAAGTGTTAGAGTCCCACATTTGATTATTTAATAAAGAATGATAGGCTAATAAGATATTGAGTTGACTTAACTAATTGATTTGATTAGTTTAGGCTGGGGAGTCTTATAGCCCAGTTTGAGTACTTCCAACCCAATACCAATTTTTATAATAAACAGTTCAAAGAATTCAACCATAACAATTAGAATGGTGAAGCAGTTTCTTTTTTTCCCTTTGTGAATCATCCGTTTTACGCAAATCAAATTGCCCCATAATTTTCCATATTGCTCAGAACAAATGATACACAACAATTAGGTAAATTGGTAGGACAAGAATTCTTATTTATGATAAGCTTCAATAGTATGCTCTCACTCTTTGTTGCGTCAATTTTGAAAACAAAGTTAGTGAAGTTATTAATCTATTTGTAGAGTTGTGCTTAGATGGTCCTAAGGTCCACATTTTTCATAGGCTTGCATGTGGATGTTCTTTTTTTTACAAAAGGCCCACAACTTTTATCCTATAAATGCACTAAAGTCCATAAAATGAGCATGGACCTTAGGACCACGCAATAGTTTGCCCTATTTGTAACGTTCGACAATGCTTATGTCCAATGATTGAAGATTTTTTTGAAGTTATTGACATATATGTAGCATTCAACGATGATAAAGGGTAACTAGGGAGGCTTATATGTAAAAGTGCTTTTAAAATGTTGGCATTGGTTCTTATGCTCAAAGAATTTTCGGGCATTAAATGCATCAAGGATTTAATGAAAACATCCTCTCGTTTTTCATTCACAATTAGTCTACTCCCTTTACTTTGACCAAGAAGCAATATTTTGATGACAAAGCAATAAGAATAATATTGGGAAAATGCAAGATGGAGAATCTCAATTCATTGCGTAACATTTTGGGTTTGCTGTTGATGATTTTATCATTATTGTTGATGCAGGATTGCGCTATGAGGGGAGTGATTCAGACGAAGACAAGGTAATTCGTTCTTTAATTCTAATAAATTTGGGCATAAAGAAGTCCAACTTGTGTTTAGACAAAAATTATAAAACACTTTACAGTGAAGGTACATAATATGAGTAATAAAACTAGTTGAAAATGCACATGAATACTCCCAAGTTTGGGCCATCTTACACATTTTTCATTCCAGAATAAATTAGATAAATGGTTATTTAAACAGATGTACATGCGGATTGGATTTTAAATGGATCGGATCTATGATTACCAAATCCACATCCGTTTATCAATCGGATGTCCTTAATCAGATGCGGATAATATCCGTTTAAAACAGATGTAGATTTTTTCCATATAAATGGATACATATGTGAACGGTAATCGAATTTTCGGTTATCCATTTACAACCTCCCTATTGAGAGTGTTTGTATGATGGTCCAAATTGCAGTATTCATTTGTATTTTTTATTTTTTGTCTTTGACTTTACATGGAATTTTAGAAATCTAAATTGTGTCGTTGATACGGAGTAATTGTTTAGGAATTAAATGAAATTGGGAAATTCATAAAAGACGTCCGAGAAGAGAAAAGTAGGGATAACTCATGTCTTGTAGTGTAAAAAATGCTCTGAAAATGTGGTTGATCAATGGCGAGGTATAAACTTGGTGCTGAGGAAGGAGCCAAATCACTATTAGTATAGACATAATAGAGGATAAACTACATTGTTTTAGGAGCATATTGTGACACAATGCACATATCATCTCTTTGGGGTATTATTGTTCAATACTCCCTTCATCTCGGAGTGTTTGTCTATTTTTGACTTTTTGCAGTCAACCAGGATTAATTGACATATAATTAAATAAGAATTACTATTATATGATATATTAATTATATAAAACAATATTTTGAAAATATTTTACAAGATGAATCTAATAAAATAAATTTTGTATCAGTATCTAATATCAATTTTATTTAATTGATGGTCAAAGTTTGTCTATTTTGACTACAAAAAAAAGTTAAAATTAGACAAATACTCCGAGACGGAGGTAGTATTTTTTTTAGGAGTATTTTGGGAGTATTTTTGTTAGAAGGTCCAAACATCGGAGTATTTTTTGTACATTTTTTCAAAACTCAACAAATTACATCTGCAGATGTTGACACCTCTCCCTACCGAGAAGTTCTCAGACGGAATTCATTGGCTCTCTTGGTTGTGATGACAAAGCGATAACAGTAATCTTGGAAAAGTGCAAGTTAAGGATTCCCTATTCAATGCACAATGTATTATTGGGTTTGTTGGTGATGATTTTGTTATTGTTGATGCGGGATTGCATGATGGGTGGAGTGAATCAGACAAAGACCAGGTAATTCATTGTTTATATATGCACATGCAGACAATGACCTAAGATTCTCTGCTTGTTGCTTTTTCCCCTCAGTAACTTTAGTTCGCTCTTTGCTGCTCTTTGTTGTGCTCTGTGCCTTCTGTGCTTTTGGTGCTCCCTATACAGCTTGTGTTACATGGGAGTATAATAGTTAAAATCCATAGTTAAGTTTAGACCTCAATTAACGAAAAACATGCACAAATACTCTCAGATATGGACCTTCTTACACAAGAAAAAGTTATTTTTGGATCATTTTTGGGATTGAGATTATCTCTTCAGAGTATTGTTCTGCACTAGTATTTGTTTTAGGAGTATATTTGTTAGAAGTTCCAAGCTTCTGTGTCTATTCTTGGACAATTTTGGCAAAATTAAGAAGCAGTAATAAATTGCATTTACAGGTGTTACATTGGCAATGCATGCTGCTGATATGAAGACGTCACCGTTCTGATGCAAGTATTTGGATGTCAAGTGTTGTGGTTCGTCTCTCTCTTTGGCTTTGTTGAGTACTGTTGGTGAGGAAAGCTTGAAAAGAGAGGCCAAAACATTCAATAACAAAGGTAAGAGTAAAAATGCTAAAGTGGGAAAGCTCATTCAAAAAGCAGTTGAAAACCTCAACTGGGAAAAGGAAAGAGAGAAGGCCTACTTGGTGTGTTAGTCTCTCCTCAAATCCTTTTTTTATTTGCATTTTGACACCATCTTTTCGTTTGCATTTTAACGCCATCTTTGCGGCACTACGAGGTGTAATGCGACTTAAATTTAGCATTAGATTATGATATCATGCCACCCGCAATTAGGTACATTTACATTATACTGTACTATATTTATTGCGCCTATGAGTGTGTCCTCCTCTTTATCCTAACATATTTTTTCCAATATCAACTACTCCCGGCCCTCTCGTTATTTAATGATGAGTTTGAGGGTTTTTTAATTACTATTGTCAAATTTTGTTCATTAATGTTGTCTCAAGTAATCCCCACCTACTCTCCGGCTTTCAAAGTTATTCCCATTTTACACTTTGATCTATTAGGGCACTGGAAATCGCGTCAAAAATTTGACGCAGGAGTTTTAACGCACTTGTAACGGGGGAGGGGGGAGGTGTTTAACACCCCCCAAGCGTCAAAAGGCTAATAATGCCGCTCGGCGTTAGGTATTACCACGGTCCTAGAGCACCTTCAATTATTGTATGATATATATAAGATTTGAAAGCTAAAACACCGAAAAAAAAGAAAAGAAAAGAAGATAAAAATGTCTTCCAATGGAGCTTCTCAAAAAATACTCGTAGCCCATATAGGAGAATGGCTGAGACATTGAAAGCTAAATGACCAAAAAAAGGTGTTCCAAGAAATAGGTCTTCATTTTAGAAGTTGCACCCTCTATATTTAGAGAATGGATACCCTCTATTTTAGTCTCTATTTTACTCTTCCATCTCAAATTAATATTCCACTAAGTGTTCCAAATTATTATGTTCATTTTTTTATTTTTCCTACAAAAAAAGTTCTTACTTTTCATTTTAGAGAAAAATTAGCTCGTTTTTTCTTGTCCCCATTTTTTATCTGTTTAAAATTAATATTTTACATGTTCGTTTTCTTCTGTCCGAAAATATACGGAGTAACATCTTTTTTAAGGAAAAACTTAATTCATACTTTTGTGCGTTGCACGAAACAAATTATTACAGAATAAAATTACAAATTATAAAATTATTACATTAATAAAAATTCAGTAATGTTGCATATAATAAATAATATTTATTATTATTATTATTATTATTATTATTATAATAAATAATATTTATTATTATTATTATTATTATTATTATTATTATTATTATTATTATTTTAATAATAATATTTTTGTCGATGTACTCCGTATCATTTTTTGCTCATTTTATCTTTATGTAGATTAAAAAGTTGTAAAAATCTATTATATACAGTATATAAAAGTAGAATCAAAATCTATTATCCAATCCTATTCTATCCTACTATATATAAAAAGAAAATAAAATGGTATATGTTTTTTCCCGCCTTTAGTTGGGCATGTCTAGACAAAATACTTGGTAGGTTACAATAATGTCACTCTATAAATACTTGGTAGCATAAGCATATCCTTCACCCATTTCAACTCCCTCATCTCTCTTGCTTTTCCTTCGTTCCTTGCTTTCTAATGCTATGAACATTTTCATCAATTTCTCTCTCTCTTACCATCTTTCCAATTTCATTGCGTTTCACAAATATACCATTGGCGGTTCCTGCACCATATATAGCAGCCCTTTCAATCAACACTTACACCGACTCTCTCTGCATTCTATTTCCACATGATTTGATTTCGAGGTATCTCCAATCATTTTATTTTTCTGCATTTTACACCGGTCAAATTTCTGCAATGCTTTTTGGGTGCCATCCCAATCTATAAGGTCTTCTGGATGAAATTAACTGCACAAAGACATATTGCGCATTAACATTGCATGTGAAAAAAATTCTTTATGCATAGAATGGTTCAGACAAAGATGGCCTGCTATGGAGGATATGAAAGAACAAAGAGTATTTCTAAGGACAATGACAATATAAGGCAATCATTGTTGGACGAGTTTGATTAACCACTTCTTCTAAGAAGTGGCGTTATATGAATGTTGAAAAAGAGATGTTGCACATACATAATTAACTGGATTGGTGTGTGCCCATTGCTTATGTTTTTATCTATGTATTGGTTGTATTTCTTAAAAGAATCATGCTTTCTTACCATGTCTATCAATACATGCATTCCCATTTAAATCTTATTCATTACTTATCTTCTTCAACTTTATATATCTTGGCGAATTTCTAATTAAACAGCAAAAATAATGTCATTTGCAAATAGCCATTGACCTTTTTTTTGAAGGAAAAGTCCTTGCACTATTAATAATTCTTTTCCTGCATTTTTGGGATACACCCCTAATCCGACTCTAGAATTTTGATGTCTTTCTGTTGAAACTTGTAAGCAGGGCCCTAATACTACCCGACCTCATTTACACATAGGAGCCATTCAATTAAAAGTCAGATGTAATCCATGTGTTAATTTTTCTACTCCTTTCGTCCCACAAAACATTACCCATTTTGATGTATTTTTGGTCAAACAGTTATACGCTTTGACCATAAATTAAATATATTCTAAATAAAGAAATGTTATACTACCTCCGTCCCATTTTATAACGTCTGTTTCGGTTTACAATGTTTGATTGAAATTATTTTCAAATCATTTTATATGACAAATGGTATATAGTTAAAAAATAAAAATTACATATTAAAATACTACATTAAAAGATATACAAAAATAGTAGTGACAATATTACTTTATTTTATCAAATTGCTAACGAAAATAGAGAAAGAAAGTGGATGAAGTTTGACCCTGTGAATAATGAACATGCATTATAATTTGGGACGGAGGGAGTAAAAATTTGATATATCAAAACTAGATCCCAAGATGAATCCAATTATATTAAATTTATATTATAATTCAATATATTTTTCTCACGATTTGTAGTCACAATTTACTCTACATAGTGTCATGGTGATGGGTGAAAACTGTGAAATGGAAGGATCCACTGGACATATAATCTCTATACTCACTCCGTAGAACTGTAGAAGAGCTCAGATAATAGGTATCAAAGTAAAATGGATTTGAATGTTTTTAGTCGATAGAGATGTATGAAGTTGATTACTTAATACAGTATCTACACAATCATTAAAATTAATGATCATTTAAATTATAAAATTGGAGGTGCAGAGTAGGGCTCCAACATGCATGTATGTATTCAATTCATATTGTACATTACTAAGTTGGAGGCACTAAAATTAATTTAATTACTCGGTAGTTCTTTATAATACATTATAAAGAATGAATTACTGAATTGCAAAAAAAATGAAAAATACATATAACATGTAGATTCATTGAACAGATCTGCACATTGATTAACACCTACAACCATTCATTTATATTCAGTGTGTGACTCATAAAGAACAAACGGTAAATTACATTCATAAGAGTCTAGATATTAAAAGTCCAAAGTACATCTCCATTTTTCCACTTTTTTCTACATCTCCAAATCTGTCATAAATATATCTATTACGTAGTATCTGATGGGTATATCCTTATACCCGATCCGGATAATCGAAAGGGACATGTCAAAATATGACTGATTACTTTTATCAAATCACCAAATGATGTTAACTCTTCGATTGGGACGGGTCAAAAATTGGCCGGTCACTTCCACTAAAAAAGTGACCGGTCACATTTGGGGCGATAGCCAATTCGTCACTTAATGTTGCGAAGGATATTCCAGAGGACCAAAGTGATGGGTTGAACTCAAGAAATGACCGGGTAACCTTTGAGGAAAGGTGACCGGTCAGGTTGCGCTACTTGAGAAGGGCAATCAACACCAGAGGCTAGGGGACACCCCGCCGCTCATCCATCACGGGGCAAACAGTGAAGGGAATGATTGGCGTTTTGCAAGATTGATTGGATTGAGAATATCCATGTTATAGTCTTTGATTGAACAGTGCATGTCTTGGCTTGTAGTTGCTAGATTCATTGATTGAATAGTAAATTGATTATGTACAGTGACCTTCCTCTGGGTTTCCCATTTTGTCCATGGATGAACAGGGGAAGGTCACAAATCCTCCTCTGTAAATATGATGATATTGGAGAGAGGAGGGGATCCATTCTTTATCTCACTAAAAACTAGTACACTCTTGAGACAGAGTAAGAAATAATATATTTCGGACTGAGGAGATTTACCCAATCTAGGTCATACTTTGTGTTCTTGTGTGTTTTATATTACGGGTCGAGTGTGTCCAGGTCAAACCCGGTTAACCCACCCAGCTATATTTACACCATCATTTTTGGCGCCGATCGTGGGACCGATTTATAAAGTTTTTTCGACCAGGTCAAAACTTTACCCCCACTAAATATCCACAATCATGTTTTCAAGCAACCACAACGCTGTGTCAAGCCAGGCTGCGAGTGAAAGCACTCCTCCCATCCCATTGATGATGTCGAGCATGGGGACGACATTTGCCCCGATCACCACGGTAGGATCGATTGGCATGATTCCAATCATGTCGACCCCTACTCCTACGCCGACGACAACAATGTTCCCAAGCTCGATAACAACGCCTGGTGGAGCTTTCACGCCGTATCCATCGGCCTGGGCTCAATTTGCTGCTGACCCGGCAAATGCTCAGGCTCTGCAAGGTTATCAACAAGTGATGGCCATGATGCAACAGGCAGGGGGCTTCATGCCATTTGCCTATCCTGGTATGACTCCACCAATCATGCCACCTCCGGTGTCGACCCCGTCGACATTTGTCCCTAGGATGGTCCCTATACGTCCGGTGAATCTGACTGGGACCGTGAATGAAGCAACACCCTCAAATGTCCATGAGGTCGATGAGGCGGAGCAAGAGGCAGCCCGCAGGAGGAAGGGTAAGGCTATAGCCAAACCCAGCAAGACCCGAGATTCGGCGTTCAAACGCCTAGGGGACAAAGAAGATGGGCCCCGCAAGTCTGCCAAGCTACATCTTGGTCCTGAGATGGGCCGGACTAGCGCAATGGAAAGACTTGGCGGGAATCGTCCCGTCCAATCTCGTCGTTCTAGGGAATCTGAGACGATTCACCTAGACGAGGAGGAAGCTAAAAGCCAGCCCAGGGCATCGACATATACCAGGGTCTCATACGATGAGGATGACCTGGACAAGATAGGGAGCGTAGCGAGAAAGCTACGTGCCCTGGAGGAAAAGGTGGAAGAGAAGGCGGGAGCAAAGAAGCATACCCTGGCAAAATCCCCTTTTTCGGCCAGGGTACATGCACAAAAACTGAGGCGGAAGATCAAGCTGGACGTGGAGAAGTTCACGGGAAAGGAGGATCCAAATGTCCACCTTGACACCTTCCACAATGCAGCACAGATGGCCGGGTGCACTGATGCTGAGGAATGCTTGCTCTTCTTCTCATCCTTGAGAGGGAGACCAGTGGAATGGTTTAACGGCCTTCCCCATGGAAAGATTGGGTCCTTTGAGAAACTTGCCGAAGTTTTCCGCAAGAAGTACCAGGACAACTGCATCAAGAGGAAGAAGTTCACCTACCTTAACACGGTAGGGCAGAGGGAGAAGGAGTCATTGACTTAATTCTTGACCCGCTGGAGGGACGAGGTCGATAAAGTAGAAGAGATGGACGATAAGACGATCATGTCTTTGCTGATGAATGCCTTCTGGTCGGGTGACCTCTACACCGAATTTTGTAGAAGGCCACCCTCATCTTATCAGGAAGCCTACAATACAGCATGGGAGTATGCCGAGGCGGAGGTCTTGAACAAGAGCAAGCGGGAGCTGGAGGAAGGCTATACAAAGGTGAAATCTGACAAGCCGAAGAAGGAGGACCAGATGGGAGGGTCCAAGCCAAAGGCCACCTATGACGGATCTGTCCATCAAATAAGGGATGATAAGAAGGGAGAGCAACCCAAGAGGCCATGGACGGAGAAGTGGTGTACCTACCATCAATCTGACTCCCACAACACGGCGGACTGCCGAAATGTCAGGGCTGTGCTCAAGGAGATGACCTTGAGAGGGGAATTGGATGAAGTACTCGTTACGGGGCTTGAGGAAGACCTATAGGCGAGTATTTGAATCCGCCCACATGAATAGGATCAGGGAAATCAAAGAGGATGGACAAAATATGGTCAAGATTACTAAGCTTGCTTTAGACGGATAAGTCTTGATGTCTAGGACCTGGACCGTTGCATGGGCTGATAACAAAAAAAATAAAAAATAAAAAAACCCTTGAGATAGGGGCCTTGATGTTGAGGTATTGCCTTGAGATAGGCTGGATCTGGAAGAGGATTCGCATCCATACTTACATGGATCCCTACCGACCTTTTTGGTCGGGAAGGGTTAGAAAAGATGCCAAAAAAAAAATTACCGTCTTGTATGAGCCATCCTTTGTGGATCGGAATGTCTAGGGAAGACTAGAATTTCCGAACACATAATATATGGACGTGCAGGATTGGATAAGGGCTGGTTCTCACCGGCATACCCCCATGTGGGAAGATTAGGTTGGCTAGGTCAACATAATAATTAAAGAATGACACATTAAAAGACTTAAAACCTGGAAGATATACAAAGCGAAAAGAAAAGAAAAGCAGTAACATTTTCCCGCCTAAGCTACAGTAAACACAGTAAAAAAAATTATGTGAAATTTGCACTAAATAGGATTAAAACATAATGACTTTTCTAATGTAGGACTTAAACTTTTTTATTCCCTAAATAGGACTTAATAATGACCTTTTGGAAGGAATAATGTCCAGTAATGATGGACATTTAGTTGAATAATGACTACTTGATAATGACCAAAGGTCTTACATTGGGAAATAAAAACATATGATCTTATATTAGGAAAGTCATTACGTTTTAGGTAAATTTCTCAAAAATTATTGGATAAGGTATCATCATTTTAGAACCCTCACACTTCTATAATTCTATCCCAATTCTACACCAGCGATTCTTCTATCTAATTCTACCAGATAATTTTTTCTCCTCCGCAAGTCGCCGACATTATTCTACTGCAGAAACGAAGATTCCTTGCAAGAGACGAGGAAGACGGAGAAGGTGGAGGCCATGTACTGAGAGCTAGAGGGCGTGGCTTCCGATCTCGCGTTATATGTGGCAGGCGACGATGGAAAAATATCGATTTCAGCTCAAAATTTGAAAGCAGGAGTACGCTATGCCGGCCGGTTTCTGTAGTGTTTTTTTCAACCCTCAAATGCCCGCTGCTTCAATCGAGGATGCTGGGAGATATCTGCGCGTCTTTGTTCGAATCATTCATCGGTAAAGCTCAGCTCACCCTCTTCTGCCTGTTCTCATCATTAACTACTACTACTACTACTACTTCCTCTTCATCATCATCTTCCAGATTTCCAAAATTGAATTTCTAGGGATCAAATTCTTCAATTTTTATGTAATTTTTTCTACAATTTGTGCAGAATTTTGCAAGCAAGATTTTGATCCGAGCTACACCATAAATGATAAACGGGCTAGGTTGAAGAAGCTAGGTGAGGCATTTACATTGTATAAAAATCTAGGCTAAATTTTTTAAGCAAGATTTTGATCCGAGCTGCACCATAAATGGAAACTATCACAAAGTTTGCCATTTCAACTTTTGTGTTAGGAACTGGTGGTGTTTGGGTTCAATTATGACTTTTCTTGCTGAGCGGTTTGTGTTTGGGTTCAATTTTTTTTTTTGAAAGAATTGTGTATTCTTAGGTCCTGTGTCTACATTTGTTACTTTAAGTTAAAAATATCTTGGGAATTTTATGCTCATACTATGTTATAGCTATTTTTGAATGAAGAGGCACACCAACTGTTTGATGAAATGCCCTAATGAACTTCACACGAGTTTTTAATGTGCAGATACTTCTTTGGTTTATTCAGCGTTATATTATAAAGTCTTTATTCAAATATTATTGATATTTGATAAAGATGGTATATCAATTTTGCTATTTTGTTCCTTTCATATATTCATATATAAGAAAGTAACATAGAACAAACTAAATGGATGAACCTTTTAATATTGAGGTTTCAATATTGCTGAAAAAAGAATCTTTTCGAATGTCAAAGCGAACATTTGATGAAAATAACTCCCTTTTCAACTTGACATATTTTATCATATCTGTTGGTAACTTGATATATTTATGTATACTCCATAATTTTCTGATAATTTGGATTAAAATAGTGCAGTTTCTACTTGAACTTCTACAAATTTTTGATATTCTGAAAATGGTAACTCACGTCTATATTCCTCAAAACTGAGATTAGGTTAGATATTTCAGTTTTTTGGACTGCTAGAATATAGTAATATGCTGGGACTGCGATCACTTTGATGTACATTAGTTTTTGGAGTTTAGTTCTGTTGAAGATGGCAGTTCATAGGTGATTCCATGTTCTTCAAAATTCTGATTTTTTTTGGTTTTTTGTGATGTCTGGATTCTACTAACATACATTTTTGAGGATATTTCACTTGGCAGTGGGTACTATGTTTTTCGATTATTTCATCTAGCCATTTTATCTCCTGTCATAGACTCACAACCATTTTTTTAATGTAGGCAAACTGAAATACATGACACTATTTTGAAACCAAACAAGCAAGATTTGGGCTTTCCCTCACTTGGAAGGGGAGTTATTTATGATTGAAGGTAATGTTGTGTCATGACAACTATTAATGGACAGTATAATGTAGACACATATTGATAAACAACACAAATTAACTCTGATGTACATTAGTTTTTGGAGTTTATTTCTGTTGAAGATGGCAGTTCATAGGTGATGCCATGTTCTTCAAAATTCTGATTTTTTTTGGTTTTTTGTGATGTCTGGATTCTACTAACATACATTTTTGAGGATATCTCACTTGGCAGTGGGTACTATGTTTTTCGATTATTTCATCTAGCCATTTTATCCCCTGTCATAGACTCACAACCATTTTTTTTAATGTAGGCAAATTGAAATACATGACACTATTTTGAAACCAAGCAAGCAAGATTTGGGCTTTCCCTCACTTGGAAGGGGAGTTATTTATGATTGAAGGTAATGTTGTGTCATGACAACTATTAATGGACAGTATAATGTAGACACATATTGATAAACAACACAAATTAACTTGAATCTGGCGTATATGTGTTTGCTGATAATATTGCTTTGCCATTCATTATTGTTTTTGATATGGAACAAGATGCATCTACAATTTCTTTTGATGATATTCTTGAAGGACAAATTTCTTAAACCATATAGCCTGATTTTAGCTTGGTGTTAGTAAACCCCATCTGCAAAAATCCTCTATGTTCATTCCACTCCCTATAAACTTAAGCATGTTGTGATGACAGTTTATTTTTACTAAACTTATTGAAATTGGATTTGATACCTGCATTATTTGTTGCTTCCCTGTCTGGAACAATTTGGTTTGCTTAAGTTTTTTCTCCTTTTGAGAAGCTAAAGAAGCTGCCATGGTAGTAAAGAAGCAGATTAAACTTGAAGATGAAGAAGAAAAGGAACTACTTCTGGACAATAGTACCTAGACTATAAAGTCTTTATTACCTTGCACTTCATTCTTTATATGAATTAACTGTACTCTTCACATGCTTTTTATTAAAAAATCTTTTTTTGTGTTTTTTAAAAATTAGTTTAAGTTGTACGATTAAATAATCTATCGTTTTGATAGAAGCCATTTCAAAAGAAGGCAAAGAGGGGGGGGGGGTCATTGTCGATCTTTTAGCTTCTGGCTATTCAAGGATGGAATTAGGAGAGGGGGCAAATAAACACATACACATTGTTGCTAACAATCCAACACACTTCTTAGGACAGCCCATAGCATTCACTTCTCTACTTTAACCATCTTGAGCGCGATCTTAGTTGGAGTGCTGTTGAAGTCATCACCCAGTTTTTTTTATCTTTATCGTATAAAAAAGGTTTCTACTTTTCTCTTATTAACAACTGATGTTGGTGGGGGAGGATTGGGAGCGAGGTTCTTTGATTTTTTATCTATATGTGGTTATGATTTACATTTTTACACTAAATTTTTTAATAACTGGATAATATGCTACATGAAATTGGTCTTACTTTTTTGTGTGTTCTTGATGCTATCAAGGAATGGAGGATGTTAAAGCTATTTTGTCTCTCTATTTTTTTCTTTTCTTGAAATTGGAGGATTATGTCTCTACTGCAACTATAATTTATTCTAAAATATGTTTGTTTTTACACTAATGTTTAGTTATTTTTGGGCACTTTTTCATTGGGTATGTGGTCATAGTTGAATTATATATCTTCAACTATGTTTATCAAATTAGACTAGAAATCTGAATGAATGTTCATGTACAAACCTATAAGGGGAAATCTCAAGAGTAGAGTGACTATGGAGCAAACCATGTAAAAGGCAAATGCCTTCAAAATAGAAAGAATGTTTTAGCGATAGCTTATTAGTGGATTGGACCATATCGAGAGTATTCATTTCTAAAACAAACAAGCTTTATGAGACTCCAACTATACTAAAATAAAGTTTTCACCATACACCATATAGATTCAAAAGTGAGACATAACATTTTTGAATTGGTACATAAAAGTTTTGTTTATTCAAACTTTAGTATGAATATCAACCACTCTTTGAATAGATTTCGTTTGTTTTCACTTTTGTTTTCACTTTTGATCGTGTCAACACCTTTTTTCATTATTACTTCTCAACCACACTGGATTTTTAGAGGGGAAGATAAAGAAATTTTACCATTTTAGGATATCACACCTTCATTTTCAAAAAAAAAATAATCTTAATCTACTGTCATTGCAGGTGCTGCCCAAGAAAGTGAGGGATGGTGAAATCTTAATGGCTAAATTGTATGATTGGAATAATCTTCATTAATGATGGTGACTAAAGCCACTTTGGCAATCAAGCTTCTTTCATATCTTTGTTTTGTAAGCATAATATTAAATTTTCTAGATAGAAGTGTTTGTTGATGGTTAAATTTTTATAGAATGAAACTTCTATCGAGAAGAGGCTTCAACCAGAAGTTACAGTTATAGTGCGTTGATTGGAGTGATAGATCATTTAAAATTGCTGCTTCTATGCTCCATCCATTGTTGTGCTAAGTGTTTTTGTTTTTTTCTTCTTACAAGTAAAATGGGATATCTACCATTAAGGTTCACAACAACATTTCATGATATGAAACATGTTGAGTACATGAATATACTTTCTAGAACAATGTCAACCCCAAGTTGCATCTCAGGTAAACCTCTAGCATCAATTTCCAAAACCCATGTATTAGAATACTCATTGAAAATACTCCACTGGCACTTAAATTGAATCCTCTTAGTATGCTGCTAAACTAGAATTCATACTACTGTTCCCATAGCCAAACAATTATGCTAAGGAAATGAGAAGGAAATGACTACTTGGAGCGGTACGTTGCAAATCCATAAACAATTATGTTGTAGTGTTTTGACAGAGGTTTTTTACTTGCACCAAGGAAGATGACTTGGTTAAAGATTTATTCTATTTAGACCATGTTCATATATGTAGTTTTGGCTAAAAGAGTCTATCACGAGTTAGATCAGGATCATATATGGTTAACTCATACTAGGTTTATAAACTTCATAACTGTCCTAGATTTTTGAATTAAAACCTAATGTATCTTCCTCTCCTCTTGCAGGCATGTGACTTTTTGGGGAAGCATAAGGACATCAAGAATTATTGTACTTGAGTTATTTCAGGTAATTGCTCAATAAAAAATTAATATTCCTGCGTGTGTGTGCGTAAAGTATCAAATGACCTTTAATGAGCTACTTTTGAAGGTTTATAATAAATTTAGTAAAATTGAATTTTCTTTTTTTATTTTATTTGAACTTCGGTGTAATGTCTAGCTATTTAAGAAAAAATATGTGTGTCCACACATTTATACAAATGATCAATTTAAATGAGGCCAACTCAAAATTCACACATGTAAACTTTTAGCAGGGTGCTGCTTTCTTATTGAACTGAGCAATTTATAAGTTGATTTATCCATGATCAATTCTTTACTAGGTCAGATTGGATGCTTTTGACATCTTTGAAGTGTTTGGTGATAGCTGACCAACCATATCAAAAGAGCTTAAGACCAATGCTGCTTTGATTTTTTAGCTGAGGAATATCTCTATTTGATCATCTTTTGTTCTCTTAGTACATGTGCTAATTTGTATGGTGCATAGGAATAGATTGTACACATGACTGTCCATGAGATTTTTTTAGCCACGAAGTCATTTGAATTGGTTATTACTTATTATGTATTGCAAGTTTTGATGGAATTCACTTATCATAGCTATGATGCTTAGATTTTGACATTGAAGGCAGAATTTGGTTAGCTTGGTAATCAATGTTATTTAGATGTGTACTTTTATGGGGTCTCAACCATTAGGACTAAAGATCATTTTCTTAGGTGTTTTTTTTGATCTTTTTTGCTCTTCACTTTCTTTTTTCTATATTGGTGTTTGTTGTGTCTTCCATTTTTTTTTTTTTTGCAATTTTGATCCTTTTCTAAAAATAAAAAAGTTTCTTCTCTTTAAACAAGTTTGTATGTGAGTGAATTCATACTTATTATTTGCCTTCATTTAATAAGAGATAGAGTTTCAAAAAAAAATTATTCTTCTCATGCTGCATCAACATGTCTCCACCATTTCTTCACTAAAGATACTTTTAACCTATAAATATTAAAAACTTTAGTTAAATTTTGGCCGTGCATCGCACGGGTACGAAATCTAGTATATAAAAAGATCAAAGAGCTTCATCAGATCAGTAACTTTTGTTCAAAGAACTCAAATAAAATAAACCTTGAAATCAGTTACAAATGGATTTTTTCCTAGGGTTAATAAATTGTACTGCATCTCTTACCATGGATCCCAAACATGAGGCTGTAATAAAAAATGAAAAAGTTACGGACGAAAGATGCGCAACCATGAAGAGAACGGAAGCTTCCAGAGATGAGAGAGAAAGAAACAGATATGGAGACAAAAAAAATGAGACCAGGCCGGCTAATATTTGTTTACTCTGTAGTTTAATAACTTCATTAGAAAAACTCAGCTCCTTGGTTGTTTCAGGAAAAAAAATGCACTTCGGGCTTTTGAATAAACAAGGATTTGGGCTATATGTTGGTCTCCATGGAAAAAAAATGCACTTTGGGCTTTTCAATAAACAAGGATCTTCATTTTCGGATCATTTCGGTTTTGGTTTCGAATATTTCAGTTTGGGTAATCGATTCCGGTTCTGTTTTGCCAGATCTAGAAGAGACTTATTCTTACAAGTTTTTTTATAACATTTCTTACAACCATGCATAGGGGATGTGTTACGGTCGGGCCGTAGTGTGGGGGTTTATCGAGGGGTGACTTTACTCCAAGTGCCAAAAATGTACTACCACACTGTAAAAATGCATCGTGATGGCATAAAAATGAAGCACTCTCACGAATTTGGAGCTCCTTTGGTGCACCTCCAAATACGTGGATATTATGTAATGCACTAAATGTCTGTTCTTTATTACTGAAAAAAGAGTTGGATGTTGGAAGAAATTGGAAAACTAGAAAAATTGGAAGAAATTTGAAAAAACTAGATGAAACTGAACGAAATTAGATGAAACTATAAAAACTGGAAAAGTTGGAAAATCTAAAAAAACTATAAAAAAATTATTTCAGTTTATTTGGGGAACTGTTTTTCTATATGGGCAACCATATTCTCCACAACAACCTTAAAACCATCCAACAATTCCAGGGGAGGCTGTATGGGCCGACCTGCCTTGTAAAACACAAGAGGGGTCTTTTTTGGAAATTTATCATAGCTCCACCTAGAATATTTTAAAGGGTAAGGATTACATGCAACCATGTATAGATCACTTAAAAATGTGAGAGTGTGAGGGGGGTGGGGTGGGGTGGGGGGAGTAGGATGTAAATAGTCATTAGGCATCAAGTCTCATTGCTTATTTAATTAAATTTTAAGACAAAATTTTATTTTATCAAGTTATCAATAAAAATATAGAAATAAATAAAAGTTATCGAAAGGTCAAACTTCAGGGTAGTAAGTTAAGGTTAGGAGAGTTCTGGTATGGAAAAAGTGATTTTTATAGGCACATGATTTATCAATATTGAAAATAGCATCTCATTTTTTTTATAATTTTATAAGTTAGTGATATCAAAATAAAATTTATTTCTATCCCTTGATTCACTCAAAAGTTGCATACTGTGTTAATAACATCATTGATTATAATAGCAAAGTAATGTACCGAGTATTAATTCTTTCATCCAAAAATCTTATACGCAATTACTTAAGGTCAAATTTATACTTCCTTTATTTTTGTTTAAATGNTATGGAAAAAGTGATTTTTATAGGCACATGATTTATCAATATTGAAAATAGCATCTCATTTTTTTTATAATTTTATAAGTTAGTGATATCAAAATAAAATTTATTTCTATCCCTTGATTCACTCAAAAGTTGCATACTGTGTTAATAACATCATTGATTATAATAGCAAAGTAATGTACCGAGTATTAATTCTTTCATCCAAAAATCTTATACGCAATTACTTAAGGTCAAATTTATACTTCCTTTATTTTTGTTTAAATGTCTATTTCACTTTATGTGTGAAGTGTTTAACTAATTATATATACAAATATACAACGAAATAAAATATAAAACTATACCAAATTATTGGTATCGAAAAAACTTTAAATGTGTTATTTTTAATATTTTTTGTTAACATAATTAAGAGATATTTTTGGTCAAGCGTTGAATTTGAAAAGTGAACCGGACAATTAAATAGGAATGAATAGAGAAAGTTTTGACTACACTTTGTAAAGAAATTGCGGAGTAATTGTTATATTCATTTAAAATAAGTGAGTATATTTTATGATATACTCCAAATAGGTTTGATACAGCAAATTTTTACGAATCTTTATTTATGTACAAATACAAATTCAGTTATTAATTATAAAAGTATGATATATAGAGATAATTGTGAACAATCAAAAATAAAGTACTTTTTTTTAGAGAGAAGAAGTTAAGAGTACTCCGTAACATCCATCAACAACTATTCTTGGAATCACATGTTAAATAGAGTAGCCCGTCTTCAATTTATTTGATTGTAGTCCGTCAAAACTAAATCTTATGTACTTTGGTATTATAATTTACTCTTACTGTTTGAATTTGAATCGTTTATTTCAGTTTACAATATTTGATTAAAGTCGTTTTCAATGTAATTTATTAGAAAACTAGAGCATCATAAAAAATAAACTTAACATATTAATAAACTATATTAAAAGCTCTATGAAACAAGATATGATATGATTATATTGTTTTATCAAATGAGTAACAAAAATATGGAAAGAAGGTTAATGAACTTTGATCATGTAAATTACAAACAGACAACTTGATTTGGGACGAAGGAAGTAGATAAAAAGTTCTACAAAAGAGTGAGGGAAATGACTATGGTATTATGATTTGAGTGGTAAAAACAATAAAAAAAGAGTAAATTCTGAACGTAAAAATGGTACTTCCTTAGTCTCATTTTAAGTTATCTATAGTTTATAATGTTTGACTCCATTTATTTTCAAATCAATTTGCATGAAAATTTGGGTAGAATTTTAAAAAATATATGATATATATATATATATATATATATATATATATATATATATATATATATATATATATATATATATATATATCTTTAAACTAGAATTTGGGTAGAATTTAAAAAATCTACAACAAAAGAGGCAGCATAACAATATTGATTTATTAAATGAGTAATGAAAATGAGTAAACTGATTAAAACTTAATAATGTAATAGTAAATATTTAATTTAAATCGGGATAGAGAGAGTATTTAGGAAAAAACAAACTCTATTTGGAGGAAGTAGTATATCAAAAGAATCCCTTGCGGTTCATAGGTTGAAAATATTTTACTCTGTATTTTTTCTGTTACTCTCTAGCCTCTAGGTTAGTTAATTGTATTTAGTCGTTACTCTCTAGATATGTTTTTGCACAACTTTTTTCCGTCCCATATTTTTTTTACATTGAAAATAATGAAATTCATTAAATGCATAATTTTAGAATTATTTTTAATTTTGATCTTACTATATACTCCGTAGTAGATAACGATAGGATGTGATGAGTACATTAATAGTGAGTAGAGTGATGTGATAGAAAAATTAATAATCGATATATGAAAAAAAATATTTTAATGGAAAGTAAAGTATTTTTTGAGACAGATAAAAAATGAAAGAGAAGATATTTTCGATTAGCGATGAACATCAAATATTTTATAATTTTTATTTTGCAATGATATTTTTCCGTGCAAAGCACGGTTATGAATCTAGTTACTGATCAAAGTAAAGTTTATTAATTTAGATTGTAAAAATTTAAAATTTTTATATATAAAACTTGGAGGCATGTAGTAAAAAAAACTACACAAATAAATATGCTCCACAAATTTCGTCGTTAATTACGATAGTCGGTTACGGAGTACTAGGCAAAGTCCACAGTGAACAATAAAATTGCTTTAAATATTCCCGTCTGTTCACACTTGACAAAGTAGTCCTATATATATATATATATATATATATATATATATATATATATATATATATATATATATATATATATATCAAGCATCACATCACCTCATCATTCTAAAATTCCTCATTCACACGAATCTTTCTTTCATTTCTTTTTCTTTATCTTTTTTTTCTTTCGATTCTTATCTTTCATTCTTTCATAGGATTGTTCTACTTGTTCCTATTTCATACGATTACATTCAGTTTTTTTTTGTCTTAATTCATCTCATTTCATACTCCATACTATTATATGGAGTATATTTTCTTTTGAAATAATTTTTAATATCTCCTCTTTTAGTCAGGAATAAAATCAAAATTGTTTTCTATAATCTACCTAGCTACACGAATCACTCTAGTAGTTTTAAAATTATTTCCTTAATACTGGATCCTTCACTCTAGTAATTATTACTTGATCTGCTTGGATTTTGTTTTTTGATTCTGATTTTTATTCTTTTTGAAAGAACTTGTCTATGGTGGTGCATTCAGGCTTGTTCAAGTTATAATTACTCAAGAATGTTCAAACACGGGAAATGAAATATTTAAATTTGGAAGGGAAAAGACAGGTATGTAAACAACCAATGGTCTTAGCCCATCTCTGTTATTAACCTTCACTCACCCAAAAAATACTCTCTGTATATTCCTATTTCACTATACATACATACACACACACATACAAACACACACACGCAAATAATCCAGTTTTTTTGGTTTATTTTACAATTTAAACCCTCAACTAATCTCAAACAAACAAAATTTACCTGATAAGAAATAAAAGGAGATGCAACATTTGCCCAAGAGTAAATATATATATATATATATATATATATATATATATATATATATATATAGGACTACTTTGTCAAGTGTGAACAGACGGGAATATTTAAATGGAGTCAAACATTATAAACTATAGATAACTTAAAATGAGACTAAGGAAGTACCATTTTTACGTTCAGAATTTACTCTTTTTTTATTGTTCTTACCACTCAAATCATAATACCATAGTCATTTCCCTCACTCTTTAGTAGAACTTTTTATCTACTTTCTTCGTTCCAAATCAAGTTGTCTGTTTGTAATTTATATGATCAAAGTTCATTAACTTTCTTTCCATATTTTTGTTACTCATTTGATAAAACAATATAATCATATCATATCTTGTTTCATAGAGCTTTTAATATAGTTTATTAATATGTTAAGTTTATTTTTTATGATGCTCTAGTTTTCTAATAAATTACATTGAAAATGACTTTAATCAAATATTGTAAACTGAAATAAACGATTTAAATTCAAACAGTAAGAGTAAATTATAATACCAAAGTACATAAGATTTAGTTTTGACGGACTACAATCAAATAAATTGAAGACGGGCTACTCTATTTAACAACATGTGATTCCAAGAATAGTTGTTGATGGATGTTACGGAGTACTCTTTACTTCTTCTCTCTAAAAAAAGTACTTTATCTTTGATTGTTCACAATTATCTCTATATATCATACTTTTATAATTAATAACTGAATTTGTATTTGTACATAAATAAAGATTCGTAAAAATTTGCTGTATCAAACCTATTTGGAGTATATCATAAAATATATACTCACTTATTTTAAATGAATATAACAATTACTCCGCAATTTCTTTACAAAGTGTAGTCAAAACTTTCTCTATTCATTCCTATTTAATTGTCCGGTTCACTTTTCAAATTCAACGCTTGACCAAAGTATCTCTTAATTATGTTAACAAAAAATATTAAAAATAACACATTTAAAGTTTTTTCGATACCAATAATTTGGTATAGTTTTATATTTTATTTCGTTGTATATTTGTATATATAATTAGTTAAACACTTCACACATAAAGTGAAATAGACATTTAAACAAAAATGAAGGAAGTATAAATTTGACCTTAAGTAATTGCGTATAAGATTTTTGGATGAAAGAATTAATACTCGGTACATTACTTTGCTATTATAATCAATGATGTTATTAACACAGTATGCAACTTTTGAGTGAATCAAGGGATAGAAATAAATTTTATTTTGATATCACTAACTTATAAAATTATAAAAAAAATGAGATGCTATTTTCAATATTGATAAAATCATGTGCCTATAAAAATCACTTTTTCCATNCATTTAAACAAAAATGAAGGAAGTATAAATTTGACCTTAAGTAATTGCGTATAAGATTTTTGGATGAAAGAATTAATACTCGGTACATTACTTTGCTATTATAATCAATGATGTTATTAACACAGTATGCAACTTTTGAGTGAATCAAGGGATAGAAATAAATTTTATTTTGATATCACTAACTTATAAAATTATAAAAAAAATGAGATGCTATTTTCAATATTGATAAAATCATGTGCCTATAAAAATCACTTTTTCCATACTAGAACTCTCCTAACCTTAACTTACTACCCTGAAGTTTGACCTTTCGATAACTTTTATTTATTTCTATATTTTTATTGATAAAATAAAATATTGTTATTGCCTCTTATTTTATAGAAGTTTTGATATACTTTTTAAATATATAGTTTATAAATTTTTTATATATGCAATTTAATCTATATATAAAATGGTATCAAAAGATATTAGATTTTGTATATTACCATGTGAGACTATTAAATGGTAAATAGATTTGTATTCAATAATTAAATGGAGAATGAGAAAGCAATCAATTGCATTGCATTAATTAATACGGAGTATGTAATACGGTGTAAAATTGATAAGTGCAAAAGACTATTACAATTAATGAATTGAGACGCAATTAATCAGTTCACACACACCACCAAAAGATGTGCCTTTGATCCATCTAGAAAATCATATCAATGGACAATATTTGCCAACGTTTTGGGCGGGAAAACATCATTTTTCCCCTTTTTATCTTTTTTTTATCCTCCAATTCTTTTGCTTTTGTATATAGTATAGATTAAATAAAATTTATAATATATACTGATACAAAATTACTATGCAAATATTGTCATAATTATAATTATTATCATTACGAGCCAAAATTTGAACATCAATTACTCTCTATTTGTATTTCATCTTTATACAATGAAATAAAATTTTAAAATTTCTTAACAAGATAAATTTAATGAAGTCATTATTGTACTCTGCATTCACTTACATTAGAACTATCATTTAATTGAAATCTAAAATCCATCGAGTTTGACTCAAAACAGGTAAATTAAACAAATACATTGGGACGAAGGTAGTATTTTACATTTTCAAAAATATATTTAACCCTAAAACTTTTCTTCCCATTTCAAAAATATATTTAACACAACGAAACGGTTGATGCGAATGGTTTTTAAATAATTAAATGTCATAAAAGCTTGATACATGAAAACAGTATTTTAAATGGATACATTTTTTTAGTTTACATTACAATTTAATATAATATCATATTCTTTATCCTTTATTCTTTATATATATAAATGAGACTCGGAACTCTAAGAACATGACATATGGCATATTCAGAGCTTGACATGTGGCGCATTAGAAACTTGACATGTGGCATATAATGTGGTAGTTAACCAAAGCATTACAATATTTTTTACTCACTTCATTTATAAAAAAAATTGATTAATAAATAAGATGATTTTTTCACATTTAAATAATTTTCATACAAGTATTAGTTTATAATTTTTTAAAAATGAAATCTGTTTTGATTTTATTTATTTCAATAACAATGTAAAATTAAACAAAAATTTCTCTTCATAAATAAATAATATACAAGTATTATGAATTTGTTTATGATACCTTTAAATGATGTTAGTTTGATTATATTTATTTACATATTGACACCTACTAAATAAATACTTTCTTCGCCTATTATGAAATTTATTATTTTTTAACACATTATATACCCCCCACCCAAATCTCTCCCCCCCTTATTATTATTATTATTATTATTATTATTATTATTATTATTATTATTGTTATTATTATTATTATTAGTGTTATTATTATTATTGTTACTATTATTAGTGTTATTATTGTTATTATTATTACTATTATTAGTGTTATTATTATTACTATTATTATTATTATTATCATTATTATTATTATTATTATTATTATTATTATTATTATTATTATAATTTTTTTTTTGGAACACACTTTGCACGTTTAACTAAAGCTGTGTTCATTTCTGACAGGTTTTAATAATTGCCAAACCGCCGTGGATATAAAGAGTTTCGTTGAATAACTCAAGGCGCGAAGAATTGCTTGGAATAAGACCTAAAAGACTCAAGGACAAGATCAAGAATTGAAGACGTAGTCGAGTCGGTCTTTTGTGATAAAAAACGACAATCAATTCAAGTCTCGGTTCTCAAAGAGTCAAAATAATTTTACAAAATCATAAAATATTTTTGTGCATCAAAATGAACTTTTTTGATAAATTTTTATTGTTAAAATCCTTGGTCCTTGCTCAGAACCAAAATCACCTTAGTCGGCGTACGGTGTTCGGCATCGGCGTACGACATTTGGTGTTCGGTTTTTAGCGCCCGAACCAACTCGATGTTTTTCAATGTTTTAAACCTCGCTTTTATCTCTGAGCATATTTAAAAGGTTCCCAAATAATTGTTTTATAAAAACCACTTTTGTATCTTGGTCAATCGGTCTAACACGTGAAAAACGGTCAAAACCGTAAGCACGTGATGTATGACCTTGGAGACTTGGTTTTTACCGAACAAGTCTTGTTTTCATTATTTTATATCATATACAATGTTTTTCAAACCTGGTTTTTACTTTTGGGAACACTTCGTTTTTGGACCTCGGTTTTTCACAACGGGTTTCAGCTGGCTAGACTTTAGCTAGGTAATAATCGATTATCACTTTGGTGAAAATCGATTATCTGCCTCTGCAGCTTTGAACTCCAAAAGTTCTGAAGCTAGCAATAGTCGATTATCACATTTGCAATAATCGATTATCAGTCTGTACAGCCAAAACCTAGAAACTTCTGAGAGGACCAATACTCGATTATCACTAGTTGACAATCGATTATCTGGGTTACCGTTGTCCTCTAACGGATAGAATTTTAAATTTTTGAACAGGGAATCTTTTGATAATCGATTATCAGGCTTTGACAATCGACTATCTCCCTGTGTCTTTGAAAATTTTGTCTTCATCCTGTTGGAAATTCTAGCAACGGGTTTATCCCATTTTGGGCTATAAAATGGCACCCAAATCCTCTCATTTTACACACAATTCTTCAACATTTCAATACTCTTTCATTGCATAATCATTCCTAATTTTCTTAGATATTTGAGAGCCAATTCTTGAAGAAATTGTCATGTTCTTGAGCATTTACTAGTTCACTCATATCTACTCTTGTGAGAGTTTTATTCCTGAGTGTTTAAGTGTTTTTATACACTTTAACAGAGGTTGTTCCCTTGTTGTAAACTCGAAGAAAGTTCTTTGTTCCTTTGTGAGAAGTCTTGGAGTACGGTATCTCCGAGCAAAGGCGTTGAGGCTTGTGTGACTCGGGTTCTCAAGTTGTATCGGTTTGTTAAGCACCCTTAAGCTTAACGGAGTTAGTGTAGCTCGAGAGAGTCTCTCGGGAGGCTGGATTAACTACACGTTGTGGTGAACCAGGATAAAATTCGGTGTGCTCCTTTCTTACGTTCTTTACTTTTACGCTCTCGTTTTTAATTTCCTGCGATTTTTGTTTTAAACGCTATTAACCCCCCCCCCCCCCTAGCGTTGGGCCTTTATTCTAACAATTGGTATCAGAGCCTTACTCTCTGAAAGACTTAACCGGTTGAGAGAAACGATCAATGGCTTCTACTCAAAGTTCATACGCAGGTTTAGGTGAAGGGCAATCCACCACGAGGCCTCCGTTGTTTGATGGAACGAACTACACCTATTGGAAGGAGCGGATGAGGATTTACATCCAATCCACCAACTTTCTCCTTTGGAGAATTATCAAAAATGGCGAAGACGTGCCAATGAAGAAGGTCGGGGAAACCAACGTCCTTAAGACCGAGAATGAGTATGATGCACAAGACATCAAGAAAGTGGAGAACAATGCCAAGGCCATAAACATCATCTATTGTGCCGTTAACTCGGATGACTACCAGAAGATCTCTTGTTGCACCACCGCAAAGGAAATGTGGGATAAACTAGAAATCACCTACGAAGGTACGGATCAAGTCCGAGAAGCTAAAATTGATTTTCTAACCCATGAATATGAATTGTTTCGTATGAAGGAGAATGAGAAAATCGATGAGATGTTTGAACGAATCTCCAAAATCGTCAATGATCTCCATGCACTCAAGAAGACGTACATGGACAAGGAGCTTGTGAGAAAAATCCTGCGAAGTCTCACACCGGAGTGGCGCTCCAAAGCCGATGTCATCCAAGAGTCCATCGGCATCACCAACATCACCATTGACGGGCTTAGAGGTAACCTCAAAACCTATGAGTCTACCATTCTATTCCCCTCTTTAGGTGAACAAAAAAAAGGGGATTGCACTCAAGGCTACCTCAAGCCAAGAACCCGCCATGGAGGAATCAAGCAATGAGGACAACGAGTTCGGGCTCGTCATCAAAAAGTTCCACAAGTTCATGCGTAAGGAGTATGAACGAAAGGGCAAGAAGCATGGAGGACCACCCAAGTGCTATGGGTGTGGAGAAGTTGGGCACATCAAACCAAAATGCCCAAATGCCAAGAATGAGAAGGAGAAGAAACCATTCAAGAAGCACCGAGCGTACATCTCTTGGGGAGGTGATGTTCTATGGGATAAAACCTTGCTGCCTCTGTAATGTGAACAAAACAACTTCGCAGCTCTCTTTTCTTATCTCTTATTCACTTGAGTAAATTTCATTCAGTGTTTGGAAAAGTGATTTTGCACCTAAATGTGAGCAGCACTTGTACTGGTATGACCATGATTGTTCGATTGTTTTAGCTATGTCGATCACATAGTCAATCCCTTTGAAGCTTCTCCATTGACCATCGTAGTAGTACGCGAGTCTGTAAAGATTAGACCTTTGCATCAGTAGCTTGGTGCTCTTTTTTCCATGTGTTATCTCTATTGCGATCAAAGGACATGCTCGATCAGAGCAGTATGCCTCCGGGATTCCTGATACCACATACCCTCGAGAGCATTTACCACGTACTCACTCAATCATTTTTACAAATCTATTTCTAAAGGACAAGCGGTTGGAATTCAGTTCAAACATGTACTTTAGTTTCTTAGTCAGCTCTGCATATTTTACCACTCTGAACAGAAATAAATAACATCTTTTAAGTAAACACAAAATGTATGCCATGTTTTTAAATGATATATATATATATATATATATATATATATATATATATATATATATATATATATATATATATATATGATTGACTCTAGTGAGATGACACCTTACGGTGAAATGACATGATTCAGTCAGATGACGCAAAGCTCACCACACTACACTACAAAGCTTACCAATGGACAATACAAAGCTCACCTGGAAATAAAGCAAAGCTCACTATTTTGAACCCCAAAACTCACCTTTTTTAAATTTTAAAAATTAAAAAATTAATTAAAAATAAAATTAAAACACCAGTCAACCATCGGTCAACGGCGGCGAAGCAACAATGGCGGCCAAAAGCGGCGACGATCAGTGGCGACGGCGACTGGCGGGGCGGCGACCGGCGATGGCTGCCGAAGATTGGCGACAATGGCAGGCGGCAGTCAATGCTAGCGGTCAACAGTCAAAGTCCAGTCAGCACCCCTTCCTTTGATTTTATTTTTTGGAAAAAATTTAAAGTACTGAAAAAATATGGTGAGCTTTGCCCTTAAAATTTGTTGGTGAACTTTGTAGTTGTCTTTGGTGAGCTTTATAGTGGCTAGTGGTGAGCTTTGTGTCATCTGACCGAAGCATATCATATCACTGCAAGGAGCATCCAATAACACCCTATCAGCTGAGTTTTGAAATATAACTTTGGGTAGCTGCAATGATTTTTCACATTAGGAAAAAAAATAGATTAGAGTTTTGAAAAGAAAAAGATAGCATCAGCCATCGAGTATATGCAGTGAAGGAGAACTAAAATAGAGAGTATCAGACATGAAGATTTGGTATGGCGTACAACATTAAACAAACCCAGTAAGATCCCACAAAAAATAGTATTTATTCGTGATTAACTTTTGTGTAGAATCAAATCAATTTTCCAATAATGCAAAAGTACTTCAATGGAGAAAATGCACCGGGATGGGGATGGGGTGTGTTACTGTTTTGCTGCTTCTGACGAACACAAATGTTCAGTTGATATAAGCTCGATATTATCAACTAAGCAAGAGAAGCTCTAACTTCTCTCCCATCGTAGTTACAAACAATGGTATTTGTCACTCCCATGCGTTGTAAATTAGCAGCAAGTGACTTAAGTCTTGGCTATTTCATCTCATTTGCATAAACAATACCTAGTTATGAAGAAAGAGGAGGAAACACAACGAAGCAATGAATACTATTCACAATAACGCACAGCCAACGGTTTCAGTGCAATAAAACAAACCAAGAAAAACTTGCAGCCCGTTCTTAGGTTATGGCATTATCAAATGAGAGAACAATGTGGTTAAATTCTATAAATTGAAAAATGATATGTGTTTTATGTTATTATACTGTGCACAATCTACACATATCAGAATTATATGTTATGCATGGCTTACATAAATTCATCTAAGCTTTGTTATCATTTATCAACACAACCAAAGGAGTGAGAGAAACGGTAGGCCTCCCTTTTAATAAAATGTCAAGTACCATTTCAGTAATTCTATGATCCATAAGAATGGCAAGTAGAACATGCAATGGAACCTTCGCTAAATCATTTAATTAAAATATACCACTGTTTTTCATAAGTGCTGCAATATACATCGTTTTTCCACCAGGTGCACTGCAGCATGAAAAAAATAATAAATGAAAAACATAGCTAGGGGTACACCAAAAGTGTACCCCAAATGTACACCACCCCCTTCATTACCACTCATTTTTATTTATTTATTTTATTTTTATTTTACATGCCAAATTGAGTGGTAATGGAGAGAGTGGTGTACATTTAGGGTACAGTTTTGGTGTACCTAGCATTTTTGTTGTGTAATTGGTGCCCAGGAATAATGTCAAAACAAAAATATAAATGACAATGTGAAATTTGAATAGTCTTGATAATCATTTTTTTATGACAGAACATTATAAAAAAAATTAAATACACGGAACAAGTGACGATAAGATCAAGTTCTAAACATGAGAAACAATTGAAATAAAATTTTAGGTTGTTACAATAATAATGTCAAAACAGGTAATGGTAAAAAAAGGTTCTTCGGGTAATCACATAGTGCTTCCATACACACTTGATATGAAGCCTATCGATGTAAGAAAAGATGAATAATGCACTAATGTAGGAGTACTAATTGATGATGGGTTTCATATTACTATGTTATTTAAAAACAAAGATTTTATATTTCTGTCTGAGTTGTAAAATGTTGTAGATATGTGTTGGATAGAGATCTACCTGTTCCTCAGGAAATGGACACATACTCTACAAAATGTACGCGATAATTTACAGCTAATAATTTAACATTAAAAGGTACTTGTATAATTGAAGTTAGAAGCAATTACCTTCTTAAGCATTATAAAATGGTAAAGAAGATAATGGAAGCTAGAAAACTACAGATTCTAAATGATTTTACCATCAAACTACAGCTTCTCAAAATAACCTTTACCATTTTAAAATCATAAAATGGTTAGAAAGTTACAGTTTCTTTACCAAATTAAACATTTTAATCATAGCTTAGGTTTGATTTAATTATAGGGGGGCAAGGGTGGGGCTGGGGTGGGGGGTTTAGGTGGAGGGTTAGGGGGGTAGGAACCGTCATTTTTACAAACAGGGCACCGTAGATACCCCACACGAACTGGTGTAAGCAAATGACACCAGTAACACTGGTGTCATTTTAGACTTACTCATACATACATACATACATACATACATACATACATACATACATACATACATACATACATACATACATACATACATACATACATACATACATACATACATACATACATACATACATACATACATACATACATACATACATACATACATACATACATACATACATACATACATACATACGTGTGCATACCAAAGTAAATTTTTAAAAATAAAGTAATTGAGAAAATAAAATTATTCAAGTGTAGGATAAATAATAAAAATAATAAAAAAAAATAAAATATAATGAATAAAATGAAATAATTAAATTAAAAATACTGATAATCATTTTAAAATAGATAGAAAACAAGTTCAAAATGAAAAATATAAATAAAATATTGAAAATAAAACATTTTTTCCCCTCCCAACCAAGCAAGGTGAAGGAAGGGTCATCCCCTCCTATTCCCTCCGATCCATTCCATCCCCTCCCTTCCCTTCCAACCAAAGGTGGGGTCATCCCCTCCCTTCCATTCCGACCAAAGCAAGGCTTCCGATTTTGCATGACTCTAGCAATTCAGAATGTTTAGGGTCATCATTACTCATCAATTGAAATTCCTAGTTTACTTGCGTTGTGTAAAATCCATAACTTTGAAAGTTCTTTTCAGTTGTTTATTAGACTTCCCATATAGGTAAAGCTTTTTACACTTGTCCTGAAACTGATGCTAGACATTGGAGATACCAAGTCAGAAATTTCATCAATCTTCACCTTGTTGGTTTGAGTGTTTTTTTCTATACCATGTAAATAGAACTGCCTCAACTGCATTTGGCTCCAAATTTCTTCTCTTTATCAAATTGTATTACAAGGCAAATTTGATGTTTAATAGGATAGAACCTAGTTGCCTCTGCAATGTGTACAAAAAAAATTCACATCTTTCCTTTGTTATTTCTTGTTCATTTAAATTAATTCCATTCAACGCTTCAAAAGTGGTTTTGCACCTAAATGTGAGCAGTATAATCATTTTTCGAAGCATTGAATGAAATTAACTCAAATTAACAACGATTCGAAAAGTAGTTGTGTGTCTCACATTTAGGTACAAAACCACTTTTCAAAGCGTTGAACGGATTTAACTCAAATGAATAAGAAATAAGAAAGGAAAGCTGCGAATTTTTTTTGTACACATTGCAAAGGCAGCTAGGTTCTATCTTATTAAACATCAAATATGCCTTGTAATACAATTTGATAAAGAGAAGAAATTTGATGAATCAAATGCAACTAAGGCAGTTCCATTTACATGGTATAGAAAAGAAAAGACTAAAACCAACAAGGTGAAGATTGATGAAATTTCTGAGTTGGTATCTCCAGTCTAGTGTCAATTTCAGGACAAGTGTAAAAAGTTTTACCTATATGGGAAATCTAATAAACAACTAGAAAAAACTGTCAAAGATATAGATTTTGCACCACGCAAATCAACAATAAATTCCAATTGATGACCCTAAACATTCTAAATTGTTAGAATCATGCAGAATCAAAAGCCTAAATTCCATAAGGCATACACTGGCATTGTTAAGTACTGTTCATGAGAAAAACTTGAAAACAGAAGCCAAAACATTCAATAACAAAGGTAAGAGTAAAAATGTTCAAATGGGAGAATTCGTTGAAAAAGCAGTTAAAAACTGGAAAAAGGAAAGAAAGAAGGGCTACTTAGTGTGTTAGTCTCTCCTCACACCCTTCTTTTATTTGCACTTAAACACCATTTTTTTGTTCGTATAATATTTTATTCTCATGGGGCAAACCTTGGGGAAAAAATATGAGATAAAGTACTACTCCTTATTAACTTTTGTGTATGACATATGTTCACTTGATAAAAGGTGTACTTTTTGGCATAATATCTGCAAAAGTAATCATAAATCTTCATCACACAATAAACCTACCCCCTTTGCAAAAAAAACACATCCATGTTGTGGACATGAGGATAGAACTGTTTCTTGTCTAAAGATGGATGAAATCAGTGCTGCCTAAAGTTAACAAACCTGTAACACAGAGCAAGATGACATCAGCTATGGAAATACGCCTTGGTTGGCCAAAATCAAGACCACATGGGACATGTTTCACATTTCTCTTCTTAAGTGCATAGTCTATAACTGCTTCGTTCTGCAAAATTCCAAATTCGACACAAAAAGATTGTTTTTTGAGAGAAACATACATCAATTAATATGATCTACAAGCTGTCAAAAAAAAGTAATATGCTCTACAAAATTACCATTTTATCCTTATGTTTATGAGTATGTTGCTTTATAGAGTGAAGAGTAAAATCATAATTTAACTGTGGGTGGGTTACCACATGTTGCGGCATACCTCATCAATCAGAATGGAGCAGGTTGAGTAGACAACATATTCCCCTATTTTTGAATTAGCATCCACCATATCAATTGCAGCACGGATCAATTCCTGCACACCTGACAAATTAAAATCGTTTTTGACAATGTAGTGGGTCTCTTTAGGCATACTTTCAAAACGGTTTCATAGAAACACCAAGAATAAGTTATAGATTTAAAATACTAGATTAATTTCCTACCAAAACATGTGACAAAAAAATAATTGTATACCTTCTGCAAATGAGCAGTCTTCTGTATGTCCTCGGCAGTTTTAGAAACCTTCACTGGCTCATCTTTAGATATGACTTGCATTGCAAAGTACAGATAACAAGTGTCTAAACAAAAAGAAAGGAAATTTAAGAAAAAACATTCCTATTTACATTAACTCTAAACCATACCCCGGTGCCACTGCAAGGAGCATCCAATAACACCCTCTTAACTGAGTTTTGACCTATAACTTTGGGTAGCTGCAATGATTTTTCACATTAGGAAAAAAAAGATTAGAGTTTTGAAAAAGAAAAAGATAGCTTCATCCATCGAGTATATGCAATGAAGGAGAAGAACCAAAAATAGAGAGTAACAAACATGAAAATTTGGTATGGCGTACAACATCAAACAAACCCAGTAAGATCCCACAAAAAATAGTATGTATTCGTGATTAACTTTTGTTATAAGTAGAATCAAATCAATTTTCCAAAAATGCAAAAGTACTTCAATGGAGAAAATGCACCGGGATGGGGGTGGGGTGTGTTACTGTATTGCTGCTTCTTTGTTATTTTTAGCAATATTTATATGCTGACAAACATAAATATTCAGTTGATAATTGATATAAGCTCAATATTTTCAACTAAGCAAGAGAAGCTTTAACCTCTCTCCCATCGTAGTTACAAAAGATGGTATTTGTCACTCCCATGCGTTGTAAATTAGCAGCAAGTGATTTAAGTCTTGGCTATTTCATCTCATTTGCATAAACAATACTTAGTTATGAATAGGGGTGCATACAAATCAAATAAAATGTATTCGATTCGTGATTCGTATTCGAAAAGGATGATTCGTCTTCGCTATATCCGAATTCGAATCCGAATACAAATCATATTTTAGATTCGAATTATTTTCAAATTCGAATACAAATATTAATAGATTCGATTCGTTTATTATTTGAATTATTCGAATATTATAATTTATAAATAAATTTATATATATTCTAATATATAAAATATTTATGTACATATTTTAACATATTTTAATATATTAAATTTTTGTGTACATATAAATTTATATATATTCGAATATTATAATTTATAAATAAATTTAAATATATTCTAACATATTTTTACTAAAGTTTACATTATTATAAAATAATAATTTAATGTCTTTAAGAAATCTGTTTTAAGAAAAAAATTACTAATATTTTCGAATTCGAATATTCGAATACGAATTCAAATACGTCAAATATCTATCGAATCGAATACGAATGTTTTTTAAAATTCGAATTATATACGAATCCGAATTCGAATACATATCACTTTAATCGATTACGAATCGAATAGTGATATATTTGCTTTGAATTTTAATCGAATACATATCACTTCGAATACATATCACTTTGAATACATATCACTTTAATCGATTAGTATAAATTTTACTTTTAAATTTTAAACCAATATTGGAATGAATTGAATACAAAATAAATTTTATTAAGCATCATAACTTCAAGTTCTTTCTGGGTGACAGAGGCAGTAATAAAAATATTAAACATTTAAAAACTAAAAGTGATATTGAAGTATACCTCAGTGGTAGGAAGTCTGAACTCCTCTGGCTTTACTCTACTAATATTAAGCTGCAATTCTTGTTCTGCTTCATCCTCTACTCGTTCCCTTTCTCTGTCAATATTCCTTGCATCCTTCTCAATATCAGAAACGCCAAAATCAGAACCAGCATCTGAATCCTCCTCTGCAACATTATCAGAACCTTCATCATCACCCCCTCCAAGAAAATCAGAAGATATATCGGAATCGGATTCAACTCCCTGCTCTTCTCCTTCAGATCTTCGGAGTTCACCTTCAAGATCTTCCTCGCAAAATTGAGATGCATCTTTCTTTTGCTTCTTTTTCGGTTGAGACTTCTAAGGCCCCTTGCTTAGCTTCGGACCCGCCGTCTTCCTGAGGAATGGAGCCCAGAAAAAAACGAAGAACAGGAAGAACCGCGATCAAAAGATGCTTTTCTTACCCTTCCTCTTTCGTTGGAGTCTATCGGCTAGGGTTTAAGAGAGGTCGAACTGGTCCGTGGGTTATGGGCTTATGAACAACAAACATTGGTACACGGCAGATTTGTTAACAAACATTGGAGCCAACTACGAGAGAGCTGTTGAGGAAGGTGGCGGCGGCTCGGCGAGGAAAGAAAGGAGATCGAAGAAGAGAGACGACTAGGGTTACTGGGGAGGATAGAAGAAGAAAAGAAAAAAAAGGAAAAAAAGGAAGCAAAAAAAAGGAAAACATAATTCATGGATTATAAACAATTTTTCATAATCTTATAAAATCCTGATGTTAAAATAGGCTATGTTTGGATTGAGTTATGTAAAATTTTATTAGATAGATAATGGTGAGTAATTGAAGGTAGGTAATTGAAGATAGGTAAAGTAAGGTAATGAGTTAAAAATTTGTGTTTGAATATTTAATAGGTAATTTGAGGTAAGATAAACAGTAAAATTACTTAAATATCCTTGTACTTGTTTTTCTTTATTTGTTTAATATTTTGACAATTATTTATAAAGTAAATGTAATAAATTATTTTTTCATCGATTTCAAACATTCTTTTTATTTAATTTATTAGAAAAGTTTTTAAATTTTAAATGTAAAATTTTGAAATTAAATGAATACTTTAAGACAAAAGTAGTAACATGTCATTTTTATAAATAAAACTAATCAAAATTTAGAAGTCATATATTCCATAGCCAAAAAAAACATACAAAAAAAATATTTATATAATTAGCCAAAAAACAGCAATACACCAAAACTTAAAAAAAACCACTACAACAAACATGAAAAAAAGAAGAAAAAACCCAACATAAACACAAGAAACACGAAAAAACACAACACAAAAAATAGAAAGAAAAAGGAAAAGAAAGCAGAAGCATAAGCAAAAACAAATAAACGAAAAAAAATGGAACAAAAACAGCAAAAGGTCAAAGGGCACAAAGAAAGCTGAAAAAAGATAAACAAAACCTAAAATAATTTTGAAAAAAAACTTGCGTCAGATCTGGAGAATCGCATAGGGGAGCTACGTTTCGTCCGGCTGGAGGCGAAGTAGAGGAGGTCAAAACAGAAAAAATTGGATTGCGAAGCGATGACCTTGGTTTATTGCATAAAACGCGGTAGCCAAATTTAAACTGTTAAGAGGTAAGGTTACCTCCATTCACCTCCTCTTATCTAATTCATTTTTTTTTCCCTAACAAGGTAGGGTGTAAATCTAATCTCATCCTACATCCCTCTACCTCAAACCAAACACATTGTAAAATCTATCTAACCTTGCGTAGACTTAAAATAATTCATTAAGTTTATAGAAATCATGGATTTTAAACAATCTATCAGAATCTTTTAAAATTTAGATTAAATACACCCCATTAATGTAATTTTGGGTTACATTTTTTTGGTGTAAGTGTAACACAATTGTTCCCAAAATTATACTCAGTCCTAAAACTTATTTTGCCATTTTGACCCTAAATCGTGAACATAATTAAATGTACTCTTAAATTTAATAGAATTATTCTTTAAGATATTATATTGATGCATATCAAATATTTAAAATATTTGTTATTAAAATAAATCTAATTATATTAAATTTACAAAGTACACATATCTTAAACTTCTGTAAATATAAGGGTTTATTTGGTGCGTAAAAAAGATATGGATTGTGATATCTAGATATATCAAATTCGATATCTCCCCTCCCCTTCAAATCGAAGGAATTCTCCCTCCCTCTTGTCTTCTTCTGTCAATTTTTTATCTACCACTACTGAAAAAACCGCGAACAAAGGGAGACAAGTTCGCCTCTAATAGTACAGAATCCGCCGCTAATTAAGATTTAGAATGGAACTAAAGGCGGGCTCACTTCTGGCGCTAAACACGCTGCTCCTATTCATCTTCCACAAGAAATCTCTCATCTTAGGATTCCCATCCAAACATGACTATCTCATTTTCTTTGCAAATAGAAACTATCTATTTCTCATTCAAACATGACTATCTCATTTTCTTTGCTAGTAGTAAACAATATTTTGTTGTTCCAAAATCACAACTTTAAAAAAGCTCCCAAGATTTGTACAACTAAACCTACTTTAAAACTAGTAGGTGTGAACAAAAACCAAGACACTAGACATACGGAGTATGATTCTTTCAAATTTTTAAGTTATTCCCTTCGTCTCTTTTTTAATTCATTTTATCTTGTAATTTGTAAATTAAAAAATTATAAAAATTATATATTAATAATCTATATGTTAAGACGAATCAAACAAGATCACACATGACTATTTTTAGGCTTACACATTGAGAGAATTTGATGAGTCAAAGTGCTTAGATGAACAATTCCAAAAGTCAAAAGTGGACAAACACTCAGACCAAGTAAAAAATATCATAATTAAAACTGGTCTAAAAAAAGAATTCCACATATTTGAAAAATTAGAATAAAAATATACCAATAAATATAAAATCGAAAATCAAATTGAGTTAACAAAAATTAAACAAAAATTACATATAATTGAACAATTAGAATATTTTCATTCACGTAATTGAAGAATTTAGAGAATTTTCAAGAGACAAGCAAAGAAATTCACATAATTGAACAATCAGAGTATTTTCAAGATGAATTAAAACCTAGAAATTGGAGGGGGGGCTGAGGCGTCGGCGGGGTCGAGACGGCGGAAGATGATTTCGTGGTTGTGACCGTTGCCGGCTGATAAGCCGACAGTCGGCGGCAGGCACAGAGGCGGGGCGACGGCGCTGTGCTTCGCCGTGTCCAGCTTTTTTTATTTTTCAATTAGAGAGGAAAATTTTACTCTTTTTTAGTTGGTCTGTGAAGTTTGTGACCATCTTGTTTATGAACTAAGCATTTTCTTTTTTAGTTTCATCATTTTGTTGTTGTATATTTACGGATTTAGGGGAGACATCCGCCTCTATTCTGTTTGATTATAGTGAGGGACTATTTTGTCTATAATTTAACTTTTTTTTAAATAAATTCAAATTTTTATTTCTATCGCTATTTTTTATTTAACTTTAATCTCCCGGTTATACAATTAAAATTTATTTCAATTAGCTACAAAATTAGCGACGAAAATGTTACCCACTAATGAAAATTTTAAACAGAGGGTGAATATTCTCCCGCTACTCTGCAGCTAATTAGAGATGGAACTACTTTTTGGCAGCTTATACGCAAGATTCTAGTGGTGAGACGTTGTAATTTAAAAAATAAAAATAAAATAATAAAATAATAAAATAAAAATAATGATTGAATAAAAAGAATAATTAAAAACAATAAATAAATAATGAGGAAATATATTAAATCATTAAAAACCAACAAATAAAATGATAATAATAAAATAAGTAATACGGAGTACTTAATAATTGATAATAAATATAATAATAAAAACAATAAATTTAAAAGTAAATATATAATGAATTTAAAAAAGAAAATAAAAACTAAAAATTGTTAAATAATAAATGAATAATAATAATAATAGCTTAAATAAAAATTCATTATAAAATAATAAATCAAATAAATAAATAATAAAAATCAAAGTAGTAAATAATATATAAAATAATAATAATTAAAAAAGTAGATATATAATAATATTTAAAATAAAAAATAAATTAAAGAAATATTAAAAATGGAACGTATAATAAAAACAAAAAATAAAATTATTAAAATTAAAATTAAAAAAATAAAATAAAAAATATAGGAACGAATTTCAAAAACTAGTTAAAAATTAAAAAATTAAAAAATTCATTCCCAGTGTCGTTGTTAGAATATCAAATTCGTGTTTACCTCATTTAGCATCCCTTGCTCAACCACTGCCCACCAGCGTTGATCACAAAATTCAAAAGCACTAGAGAAATGTTCCTCGTTTTTTATGCGCATTCTTATAAAATGTGCAAAAAATACTATTGTTCTAGAAATTTTTCTTGTTTTGATATTTTTTGTTAAATAGTGATACTCTTAGATTTAAATTGTGTAAAATGTACATTTAATAATAATTTAAATTTATATAATCAGATACATCTTAAGATATAGTTATATAATCAGTTACAAAATTCAAAAGCACTAGAGAAATGTTCCTCGTTATAATAATTTTTTTTATTATGTTGAATTTGTAACTAAAAAGTGTCAAACTGTTTTTTTATTCCACCTAACACTTTCTCGAACGTCGAGTGTTTTTAGGCGATAAAGAATTGATGAGTTGTGTATCGTGAATCAATACATAAAAACACTAACGGATTCAAGAAAAAAATTCGCACATGACAACATACTTTCAAAATGATAGATTCATTTCAAAATACATTACTCGTCTAAAATTTCAAACAAAACAACAATGCCAACGATACAAGCACAAAAAAAAACAATCGTCATGAACAAGACAATATTGTCCAAAATAAAGACAACAATATAAGCACCTATGGCCTTCCTTCTCCACCACTTTCACCTAGAAGACCTTTGACATACCTCGTTCTCAAAACACTTGAAGAAAAGTGTGAGCTTATGAGTTTGGGCTAAAAGGACTTCCGGTGCTGCCAATGCTTCTTTGGTAGTAATGCCTTCTAAGGCAAGCAGTTCATCCAATACTTTGTCACTCATCTTCGCAAGCTCCATCTCTTGGTCGCGGACCTTTGTCTCCCGATCTTCGACTTTTTTTCATGGCATTCGCCATTGCAAAATAATGAACATTCATATTATCCGCAAAGTTTTCAAAATTCACAAATTTCAGAACTTCGTGATCCCTTAGCGGTATCAACGCTCTTTCTTCCTCTTTACACGTTTCTCTTTATTTTCACTTTCTTTAAAGGAGGGACGAAAGATCCATCAGCAGCAACCTCGTCATCACTGGATTCAATGCTAAGTGATGCGGTATGTAATACCCCGTATCAAGATGGGAATGGGAAGAGATCAAAAGGATTGATGGTACAACTCATACCAACAAGGTGCATCTTCTTTTCGAGAGCTCATCACCTATAAAGTCCAAAGTTAAGTGTGCTTGACCTGGAGCAATTTTAGGATGGGTGACCCCCTGGAAAGTTTTCCTTGGGCGCGCACGAGTGAGGATAAAGTGTGCGGGAAAGACTTGTGTTGGTTTATGGGGCGAGTCTACAATTCTATGAGCGGACATTTACGGCTAGGGTGGGGGCCGGGGTGTTACACGGTATCTTCTTTCTCCAAGTTCTCAACGGCTTCAACAAAGCCCTCGATAGACTTTCCAGTAGCATAGTCCTTCCCATAAATACTCTCACTTTCATTCAGGTAAGGGAATGGGACACCATACATATTCCTATAATTTGGATGAACTTAAAAACAACATATTGGGATATTGTTTACACTATGAAATCATGGGCTTCAAAGATAATACTGCAAAAAAAAAGAAAATAAGAAACATACCTTACAATACTCATCATACACTGATTTTTCAACAACAATGGTATGTTTTTCATCACCCCATTTGAATACACTCTTCCCAACATTTACATTATAGCTCTATACTTTTTAACAAGTTTCAACCTCGCATTAATGTAGGTTAGTGGCTTTCAACCCACATCCAGGAATGGCCTTGCTTATCAGCTCTTCCAATTTGGACATATGTCCATTTCTGAAACCATTCTCACACTTCCAATGAGTATCTGTATCCATTTCATACAAAGCAACGATGAGAGCTTTATCTTCCACACACATATTCCTTGTCTCGGTCAACCCACCTATATCTCTTACCATCTCACATAAAATGTCAAATGTTTGTCAGTTCGTTCAGAGAAAGTTTCTGCATACCACATTATCGTCCATAATTATTATATTCATGTTACGCATTCTCATTTCTCTTCTAGACATTTTATCTTCTTAAATTGCTCAAGATCAATGCAAAGTTTTACTTAGTAAATACCACATCATACAAAATAAAATCACACAATTAATCATCAAGTACAATAAGCTATCAACTTCAATTTTATCTTACTCCTCTTTCTCAGAGAGAGATCAGATTGAGTCATTCCTGTTCAAATTGTTTGTAAAAAAACTTTCAAATCAAATAGAACCAAGAATAGGCTTACTTGATAAAGATAAAATGAAGAATAAGATAAACGAAGGCGGAGTATTTTTCAAACAATGTGAAGTCTTTAGCCTGAAATTAACAAAGAGTAAAACATTCTGAAGGAATATTATTTTCTATATTAAACAAAGAGAACAAGGCTACGTATATATAGTTACAACAAGGGGGTAAAGTGTAAATAAGTAAACCTATACATAAGGAAAGCTACCATATATACATGATACTATATTAAATATATAATATATTTAACATAAGTAAAGCTACCATATATACATGATACAATATTAAATATATAATATATTTAACATGCGCCCGACTAGGTGACCGGGGAAGGACGGATGCCAAGACTGTGTCTGAAGTCAGAGAAAAGAAGCGATGGCAACCCTTTAGTGAAGATGTCAGCATACTGGGAGGACGATGGGACATGAAGAACACGAACTTGTCCCAGTGCGACCTTGTCTCTAACAAAATGAATGTCAACCTCTATATGTTTGGTGCGCTGATGCTGAACAGGATTAGAGGACAGATAGACGGCACTTACATTGTCACAAAAAACCAGTGTGGCGTGCCTAGGTGGCTGCTGCAATTCTAGAAGTAGATTTCGGATCCAAGTGGTCTCGGCTACTGCATTTGCAACGGCTCGGTATTCTGCCTCAGCGCTGGAACGAGATGTAGTAGCTTGTCTCTTGGAGGACCAAGAGATGAGATTATCCCCAAGGAAGACACAATACCCAGAAGTGGAGCGACGAGTATCAGGGCAGCCCGCCCAGTCAGCGTCCGAGTAGGCCTGTAGAGATGCAGTGCTGGTGCGATGAAGTGTAATCCCATGAGTGACAGTGCCTTGAAGGTAACGAAGAACTCTCTTCATGGCTGTGAGATGAGTGCTGCGTGGGGCGTGAAGATGAAGGCAAAGCTGCTGTACGGCATAAGTGAGGTCAGGACGTGTGAAGGTGAGGTACTGTAATGCGCCAACAATGGATCTGTAAATGGTGGGGTCGGGCAGAGGAGTACCAGATGAAGCTGCCATCTTTGCCTTGGTGTCGACCGGAGTGGAGATAGGCTTGCAGTTGAGCATGTCTGCACGCTCTAAGATGTCATGAGCAAATTGCGTTTGATGAAGGAACATGCCGCTCGCAGTGCGCTGCACACTAATCCCGAGAAAGAAATTCAAGTCACCTTATCTGTCATAGCAAATTCCCCTTTGAGTTTCTGAGAGAGGCAAGTGAGGAGAGAAGTAGAGGAGGCGGTGAGGACGATGTCATCCACATACAGTAATAGGTAAGCCATGTCAACTCCATGTGAATAGACAAAAAGAGAGGTGTCACTCTTGCAACCGCGAAAACCCAGTGTGAGCAGGAAGCTAGCAAAGCGGTGATACCAAGACCGAGGAGCTTGCTTTAGACCATATAGAGCCTTCTTCAACCTGCAAACATAGTGTGGTCTGGCAGGGTCCTGGAAGCCGGATGGTTGGCTGGCATAGACAGTTTCCTGGAGAGTACCATTAAGAAAGGCATTCTTGACGTCCATCTGATGAATCGGCCATCCCCGAGCGAGTGCAAGACTGAGGACTACCCGCACAGTGGCCGGTTTGACAACCGGACTAAAAGTCTCGTCATAGTCGATTCCAAAGCGCTGATTAAATCCACGGACCACCCAACGAGCTTTGTACCTGGACAGTTCACCTGTAGGGCCAAATTTGTGGCGGAAGAGCCACTTGCCGGTGATGACATTTTGTGTGGGGGAGGGGGGTACTAATTCCCATGTTTCGTTTCTTATTAAAGCATTAAATTCATCACACATAGCATTGTACCAGTTTTGGTCCTTAAGTGCACTACGATAAGTAGGTGGGAGGGGGGAGATATGGGCTGTAGTGTTAAGGTTAAGGATGTGCTTGGGTTTGGATATGCCGACTTTGGAGCGGGTAGTCATAGGGTGTA